TCTAAAAAGGGCCAAGTGGTGCATTGCTGTGGGTGGTGCTTCTGGTCTGCATACAGTTTGTTGATTTTGCCAGTACCATCAAAATGTAAAGCTCCTCGTACAGAAAATTCCTGGAATAACTGATTACAAAATCTTATTGAAATTAATGGTTTGTAGCATTGAAAATAGAGATTGTATGCTGCATAGCTGCAATAAATGTTCTGCTAAAGAGGTTTTGTTAGATTACATTGACACTTTGTTTACAGAAAATGAAATTAGTGAAGTTAATTTTTATCAATGGCGAAAATCAAATTATCAATTTACTTTAGCACCAGCAACTTACCTTTAGATGAATTTATTTAAATGGTTAATGAACAGTTAGATAGTTTACGAGAGCATCATTTTATATTAAAAAGTCTAGACACCTACTACCAACATTTGAAAACTAATTTAAAAGAAAATCAAGCTTTAGCTTTTCTTGACTTAGCAGAAAACTATAGTTTTCTAATACAGGATGCAGTGCAAGGTTTTCACTGGAATAACAGCCAGGCAACTGTGCACCCCTTTGTTGCGTATTTTATAAAAGATGGAAAACTTGATAGTCAAAGTTATTGTGTTATATCAGATCATCTGAAACATGAAACAGATGCTGTTCATTGCTTTATTGATAATGTTATTGATAAACTTAAACAATTACAAATATTTGAACACATTACCTATTTTAGTGATGGAGCTGCATCACAATATAAAAATTACAAAAATGTTATCAACTTATGTGGATATAAAAATTACAAAAATGAGTGGCACTTTTTTGCAACATCGCATGGTAAAAGCCCTTGTGATGGTGTTGGTGGAACAGTGAAACGTCTTGTTGCACGAGCCAGTCTACAGTCACTTAACGATCCTATTGACACACCAAGCAAAATGTACAGCTGGTGTGTTCAACACGTCAAAGAAATATCTTTTTTTTTTGTTGACAAAGTTTCAATAGAAACACATATTACAAACTTCAAATTGGAAGAGAGATATTGTTCTTGTTCTACAATACCTGGGACACGAAACCACCAGTTTTATCCCAACGTCACTTACCTCAATAAAAATAAGAAGAGTTTCATTTGATAGTATTTGCACAAATGTGGATTTTTCTACTTGCAGAATTTTTATTAATAAAATTTTAAGTTATTCACCAAGAGAATATGTGACCTGCATTTACGATGCTCAATGGTATTTAGGAAATATTCTTAGTATTTCAGAAGAGCATCAAGATCTTAATATGAAATTCATAAAAAAGTCTTTATGTAATAAGTTCACATGGCCATGCAGAGATGATCTTTGTTGGGTACCTCTGATGCATATTTTATGCAAAGTACAATCTCTTAAGGTCCAGTCAAACAGAGGAAGATTTTATAGTATTGACTTAAAAGAAATCAATGAGATTATTTTATTATTTGAGAAATTTAACTTTTTGTAAATTTTATTAATTTTGTTTATTTTCTTAAAAACATTTTATTTGTTTTTTATTTAAAAAAATTTGTATTATAAAGCGGGGAGGGAACAGATGGGGAGGGGATTTATCTATTGGGATTTAAAAGGACTTTATCTATTGAGATTATAAGGTTATAAGTATTGATATTTTTTAATTAATATTTCATAATAAATAACATTACATAATTCAATGCATTTATTTATTATGTTAACTTCAGAATTTTATGGAAAATTTACCTGACTTTTAGAGACTACCTTTAGGGAGTTATAAATAAGTGCCCATTAATTTTTTTGTTTTATATAAACACTCTTTAATTGATGCGTATAAAAAATTTTATGAAAAAAAAAGTGCCATCTTAGGTAACAGATGCTTTGCATCACAGATCAATTTTAAGAAAATCTCGATCCGACTCATTTTGGAGACCTATAACTTTTAAATGCAGCTCTTTGATCAACTGATTTTTAAAAAATGTTTATCCACCACATGTAGATCAGCAGGTAATTTGATTTGTATTAATCTTTTAACTAGTCATTAAGATTAAGATCATTAAAATCACAAAAAAAAAAATATTAGAAAAACAAAAATCTTAACTTTAGCCCAATATTATGGAAAAAGTTAACATGCCAGAACTAAATTTTTTCTTTTTTTCCAAAGTATCTACAGCACACTTGCTATCTTATAATAACTGAAGCATAAAACTAAATTGTTCAAAAGTTATTGGCTGTTAAAAATGATGAAAAAAACCTTTTTTCTTGTAGAGTGAAATTTTATGCAAAATAGCCCACTACTTAATAGCGTTTTATCAAGAACCATATTAGATATTGATCTAAAATTTTCAAAACATGCTTTTCACATATATATGTACAAAATCAAAAAATTTCAAAAAAATCTGAGATGGTCCTTAAGGGACCTTTGCACCACTTAGCATGGAATGACCCTATTAGTATTTATAAATATTATATCTTTTTTTTAACTATTTATATATATATATATATATATATATATATATATATATATATATATATATATATATATATATATTTAAATATATGTTTTTTTTTATAAATAAAACTACATATTTTTCACTACTATAGTTTCATGCTAAATGCAATCATCAGGTATGTGTTTTTTTCTTGTGAAAAAAAAAATTCTGTACAAAAGAAAATGAGTTAGAAAAATCTAATCTTTTGGTTTGTGGTTGTCCAGCAAAAACTTGTTCTCATGGCGACATTTGGTTATTAGTTAGTTTTTGTTTAATAATTCTTTAGGATTTTTATACAATAAAATTAATAATTTTTCGTATAAGCATATTAGGCATTTTTTGGTTATGTTGTTGAAAGCAGGGGCACTTTTTATGATGGACCATTTTAAATTAGGTGTTGTTTTTGATTTATTTTGTGTATCCCATAGATATTTTGAAAGCGTGGTTGCGTTGGCAAGTTTTTTATTTTTGAAAAATTGCTTGTGATTCGCCTATCTAGTTTTCTACATGCCCTCTGTTGAACCAATATATGTTTTGTCGGGTGTGTTTGGGAATGATGCAATGCACTTATAAATTACATTTGTTTTTTCTGCAATTTCCGTTAATAGGGCAGATTTTGCTTAGTTTACAATTGCAAGCTAAAGAGGCCGTTGGGTTCATCGAAATAATTTTTTAGGTTCTTTATAATTTTTGCTATGTTGCTTGTGCAGCTGTAGCTGACTTTTGTTGTATTACGGTTAAATAGTTTATGAAGCAGATTTGTTTTTGGAAAGTGTTGGTCAATTAATTGTAAAAAAGTTTTGCCTATATTTGTGAGAATGTTTTTATTGAATGGTGGGTTAAACCAAATTAATACCTTTTTCTTTATGCCAAGTTAAATATTTTATCTTTAGAAGAATTTTGGAATAACATATCAATGATCGGAATTTGTTTAATAATTTGTGGGGGGTGGTTGGACTCAGTATGGATGTAAAGTAGGTTGCTATTTGGTTTTTTGAAAGGATAATATGAGTCTTTTTCAAGGTTAAAGGTTACATCTAAGAAGTTAGCAATTGTTAGGTTTGTCATAATTTCAATTTGGAAGCCGATTTTTTAGAAAATTTCTATAATATTTTTTTGGGTTCTATCTATCTGTGTGGCAGATTGTTTTTGTATTATTATCAGTCTGTTGTCCCGGTAAAAGCCCATATCACTGTTGGTAGCAATTTCTGATAATGAATTTAATGCATACAGACCAACCAGCTCGCAAACCTTGGCTCCATCGTAACAACTTATTGTGACGTTGTAGCAGTCGTTAGTTGACTCTTTTTCCAAATTTTGTTGTTGAAAAATATCAAAGACTTTCTGCAATGGATAATTGTTCTGATTTTTTCTTTGTTAATTTTTATAAGTTGTTTTGCAAACGTTAGAGCATTTTTCAGAATAGTGGGCGTGATAGAGGGGTAAAATTCAGTGATGTCAAGTTGGATAAAAGTGCAGTGTTTCCTTTTTTTTATATTTTTGAACTATCTTCAGCGGTATTTTTCCACTAGTTTAATTTTAATGTATTTTTTATGTGTTTATTGATCTTATCTAAATAGGTTTTGCTTACAATGCCAAGTTCGCTCTTTGCTGGATTTATTAGGCGGCAGGGTTTTATGTTTTGAAAATTGATTTTATGGTCCTTTAGTGTGACGAACGCTTCTGATTTGGCAATTATTTTAGATTTATTAGATATATTTATTGTTTTTCCTATGCTCTTTGCTTATATAAATACAGCTCTGTTTTAATTTAAATCATTTTAATTTACTTTAATTCATCGAGCACTATCATGAAGACATATATATATTTTTTTTCTTATTCATCTCCTCAAGGTTGAGAAGGCCACTACAGACGAGGAGGCTACTTAATAGTGGTTATAACCCTCTCTTAACTCTATAACCCCGAAACACGAATCTTGACGAACAAGGCTGCTGCGCGGAGAAACAAGCTGAGCGCGGTACTACCAGGGACATGGTGGGGATCGAACTCGGAACCCCTCGCTTATGAAGCGAGTGTTTTACCACTAAACCACTACCATTTGCAAGCACTAATACATATACATATATATATATATATATATATATATATATATATATATATATATATATATATATATATATACATATATATATATATATATATATACATATATATATACATATATATATATATATATATATATATATATATATATATATATATATATATATATATATATATATATATATATATATATATATATATATATATATATATATATATATATATATATATATATATATATATATATATATATATATAGGGGCTCTATGAAAAGATTAGGTTGGTATTTTGCCATCTATATCTTTTTTGAGCCCTGTCTGTTTATTATTTATATAAAATGTAATTAAATTTTATTATTTTAATAAAATTTAATTAAAAATATATAAATAATAAACGAGAATATATAAATAATAAACGAGAATAGCTTATACAAACAGCAAAATAAAAAACAAAACAAAAAAGAAAAACAGTGCAAAAAAAAGTAATTACTTCTATTTGAGTTTTCAGTTCAGTCAGCTGTTGTTGCAAATGATGGCTTTTCTCAAGATATTCAATTCTAAAATTTTCATACAAATGATACCATTGGTTCCAATCATTTAAACTTTAATCTGTACAAATTCATATTTAAAAAAAAGTTAATAATAATTGTTTTTAAATTCCAAACAAAACTTCAAAACTAATTGTTTGAATACAACATCCTCTTTGTTTTATTTGTATTTTTCAATTTTACATTTTTAAACTTGTTTTTATATTTGAAATATTGTTTGCAATATAAAGACTATTTCCATCTAAAAATCTATAAATACTATAAAAATCTATATAAATATATATCTTGCACAATAGTGCCATATATGATTATGCTGGCGAACAATAAGAATATTTAGTTCTTAAAATTAGCATATTATGTATTACAAGAAGAATCCAACAAGCCTTCTGCATACTATGACTCAGATTTTGGGACAAAAGATGATGCATTGCACTGAGTCATGCAGAATGGATTGATCTTATTCAAGACCTTGACTTGGTAAAATAAAATATTGAACTTGTTAAGATTACAGCAATATAATGAACACGAAGATTGTTAACCATCATGAATCATCTTGAACATCAGGATTGTTAGAGGTGTTTAATTCCAATTTCCGAAAGAAAAAAAAAATCTGGTTGTTTGTTGCAAAATTACAAATAAAATGTTTGAACTTGAATCAAATAAGTAGAGACTATACATAGGCTACACTAAGCTTAGTTTGAAAACTGTGTTAATTCAAAATGGCAACTGCCTTCATTTTTGTTGCTGGTAATACAGCTCTCTTAGAGACTAATGCAAACATGACAGCACTTTGTGAATTAAACTCTGTTGAACACAAGTAAAATGACTTCTAAATCATCTCTATTATATTATTTTATTGCGTATAATATTAATAATATTATACGCAATAAAATTTTGTTTCTTTTTTTTTAATGTTAAAGTATCTGATGAATATGAAAGAAACTACAGTTATTTATTTTTCTCAATTTTAGTAAGATTTGATTTCCTGATTTAATTTCCTAACAAAAAAAATTTTTTTTTTGTTAGGAAATGTTATAGGGAACTTCTGTGTTAATTTAAATATATGTTAAGAATATTTATACTTTATTAAAAAAAAAAAGAACAAAAATGTCCCATTAAACCACTTGATATATTTGTATTTAAAATAAAAAAATTATATTTTCTTCAAAAAGTGTTTTATTGTCTACTTTGTTGTTTATTTATTAGTTTTTTATAAATTTAAAACATGATATGATGAATTTATCTAATTGGAGCTGATAATACTGTGAATAAAATCAAAAGAAATTTATTACACGCATAAAAAGATATAAAGTATTATTTATTTTATATAAGGATACCTTTCTCTTTGCAAATACTTAATTTTGTCATTAGCTTCATCATCATAAAAATTACTTATGGGTTGTGTGTTCATTTGTGATGCCTGTAAATTTGATCATTTATAATTATGATAATTATAACCATTTATAATTATGATAATTATAATCATTTATAATTATGATAATTATAATCATTTATGCTATCATTTTATGATTATTTATTTAATTTTTGGTAATATTTAAAAATAATTATTATAAATATATTTAAAAAAATTATACATAAATGCCAAATATATAAACAAAAATACCAAACGCTGATTTGCGGTTAACTGAAGTAAGCGTTCTGACGCTAACCATTCCAAATTTCGGGACTGATCCAGCTCTTGTTTTAATAATCTAGCTTCTCTACTCCTGAAAAAAAAAGTAAAAGAAAATACTAATATTTTAGACTGGAAAAAATTATTTATAGAAAAAATTCAATGTTGAATTACTTCCAAATTAAAAAAGCATAAATTATCTCACAAATAAAACATAAAAAAAAGCATAAATTATCTCAAAAATAAAACATATTCTTAATAGTTAATGAGTTTTTTATACCTTTTTTTATATAGTCGTTTTTATACTCTTTTATTATTATTTTTTATATATTCTATTATCGATATTTTACTAATTACTTTAAGTTTGTTTATTATTTAAAATGCAATGAAAATTATGAAAAATATGAAATAACATGAATAAAATTTTATGTTCAATAAAATAAAGTAAAGTAATATTGCATCATAAAAAATATGCAATGTTAACTAAAAAAAAGATAATCGAGGAGACCTTATTTCTGATTCTTGAAGAATTTGCTGAATAGTAAGACCAGCAGATTGTATATGAGTTTCTAAGAAAAACCTTTCTTCATCTTTCTAAAAAGAAAATTAAATTAAATTAACTAAATAATAGTACCAAACTAAAGGAAAAAAAAACTAAGAAATTATTTGATCCAATGGAACATTTGATTTTATCCTTTTCTTATATAATTTAAAAAAATATATATATATATATTTAATACCTGATTAAGAGCTGCACGAAGCCTTTTTACCTCTGTCTCAAGATCACTGGCTTTTTTCAACAACAGTCTTGCCTCTTCTTCAGATATCAATGCTTTCTCAGCTAACAAATCAGATGTTTCTTCAGCTTTTTTCTAAGATCATCAAGTTGATAACAATTGAATTAATTATATCAAATTATGCATTAATTATATTAAATTAAGCACCTTAAAAATGTTAGTATATTCTACGACAGACCTGAAATTTGAAAAAAAAAAAAAGGACTAAAATTTGTAAAGAAAATAGAAACATAATTTGGTTCGATACAGCAAAAATATTTTATCAAATATATGAAGACAATATTTTATTTTGAAGATTATTATAATTAAAAACTTTTAAAAAAAAGTCAAGGTAGCAAGTTAAAAAACCGAAACAGCAGTTAAACAACTTTAACTTGATATTCCATAAACAGTCAGTACAACTGAGCAAAGAACATTTTTTATTTTTTATGTTGATAGACTTTTTCTCACAACTAGAACATATTCCAGCCAAGTCAAGAATTTCTATGTTAACACCAACATCCATTAAAACAAAACTGGACTAATTATGGAGGTACCAGTTTTTCTACTCCTTAAATTGTCAACCTTCATATTGTACTCTTAGAAATAAAAGAAGCCAAATAGACTCAGTATATTCTATAACCTTTTTTTAGAAACTTTTACCTTAAACAGTTCAATAAGAGTCAATATATATTTACTTATGATGCTATGCCGTTGCTAAAAAGAAATTTTTAATAGAAATTTTTATAAAATAAAAGTAGAAGACTTTATATAGTTGGTACTGGAAATTATTTCGATTGTTTAAGTATGCCTGAAAATTCCAAGAAAATTATGTTCAAAAAATCAAATGTGTTGATACTTTTAACAATATTACAACCTTAAAAGGAATGAGATGAATGAAAAAATAAGATAATTTTTTAAAACAATATTAAGACCAATTAGAAAAAGATTGAGAAGATGATTAAAGAAAAAGATCTTTAAAAAACATCTTTAAATAAAATAATTTTAAGTCAATTAAAAACAAATTTAAAAATAAATTTGCCTAATAGAATGTCCAATAATGATATCTTTTGTCAGAAAGTAAGTACCTATACATTGTTTTTTTTAAACTGAAAGTCAGAAATAACTTAAAACATGCTTAGATTACCCCACCTTCTCTTATACTGTACGAAATAATAATAGTAAACTTGATCACATAGCACAGTGGGTCAGGTGGTGGAAAAAAGTATTAAAAAATTTTCTCAAAAATGACATTGTTATATACCATTTTATAGCTTAAACATCCGGCTTTTATAAAATGTATACATTTCTGTATAACTATCATGCCGTTTGCATTTTAAGTTGTTAATAATAAAGGTATTTTTTTTTTCAAATTTTTTTTTTTTTTAATTTAATAATATTTTTCATGTTACTAATAAGCATAAAATTGTTATTAATTTTTAAAACTTCATTTTTTTATTACATAACTAAATAAACCTAAGTATTATCTATCAAATGAGCTATTGCAAAATTATTTTGCATGTAATCTATATCAAATAAAATGATTTCTAAAAATAGCGTATTTAAAGTACTTTTTCTAGTGAAAATTTCACTTAAATAATGAAATACTTTTGCAGTCCAAGGTGCTCCAGAAATTTGAGACTTGAAATATTTTGCCCAATATGTACATTATCAATATATATTTTATCTATTGTCAGCAGATGTCAGCTGCGTCTCTATACACGATTTTTACAAGTTTCATCTTTGGGGTAGGGGGGCCAACATTCTAGCTTTTTTTTTGTGTTCCAGGCTCCAATCACCATTTTTTCGCAAAACGTCTTTTCTATCACATTAAAATGAACATATAAATATTTGGAGCTTGTTTCATGTCTGGTTGTCCAAATGTCTCATGAATAATATATTTTTTGTATTTCCCAGTGGGCACAGACGTAAAAAAGACGTCTTTTAAACGTCTTATATACGTTTTGGACGTCTTTTGGATGTCTTTTGAACATTTTGGACGTCTTTTGAACATTCAATTTCATTGGGCTTGATAGTAGATGTTCTAAAATCTGGTGGTAGTGGATCATCAAATGATGGAAATACGGCTTAAAGAGCATTTCAAAATGCGGAAAAGTTTGCAGAAATTTTAAATCTTGATGTTGAACTGATTCTAAATTTGCATATTATATTGGCAACAATTTCATGTGATTTAGACATTGACACTGATAAATTTGAGGCTTTCTGTTTAAAAACAGCTCGACTTTATGTTCATCATTATCCTTGGTACTATATGCCACAATCTCTCCACAAAATTTTAATCCATAGTTTTAAACTTATTAAAACTTTAGCATAACCCATTGGTATGTATTCTGAAGAAGCTCAAGAAGCACGCGATAAAGACTTCAAAATTATTGTGAACATTTTGCAAGAAAATCATCTCATGTGAAAACTAACCAAGATTTGTTAAATCTACTACTGTGTACATCTGATCCATTTATTGCATTTCTGAGAAAGACAGCAGGAAGTCACACCAAAATGAAAACCTTACCAGCTGGAGTTATTGACTTATTGAGGTCATCCACAGATGATAATAGTTTATAAATGTGTCTTTTGTATCTTTATAATTTTAGAAATGCGTGTACCTACATTAAAGTGTGACTGTAAATAAAAAAAAATAGTTATGCTCAATTATATTAGAGTCATCAAACTAATTTGCATACCAAGTTAAGAAACATTTGGCTAAAAACAACCCTTTAGAACTAAGCATAAATATGTGTTGCTATGCAACCACAAAAAAAAAAACTATGCTCATTCAAATTATAATCATCCAATTACTTTATATACCAAATTTTGAGGCCTTAATGGATGAAAGGAAAAAAAGTTATGACTTATTTCAAAAATGTGGGGATTCTGGCCCACTGTGCATAGGCACTTTAAAGTAAATTACAATAATAATAATAATAATAATAATAATAATAATAATAATAATAATAATAATAATAATAATAATAATAGTAGTAGTAGTAGTAATAATAAGAGTACATAGAATGTGTTTATATTCTAAGTCTATAGTGCAAAGATAGCAAGAGAGGGAGAGAAATAGAAAGAGCGAGAGAGAGATAGAAAAAAAAGAGAGATTATGATTATGCTGATAATAAAAAATTCTAATATTCTCTAATAAAAAACATAATATTCTCTTTTGGCTGGGTTTTAAACAGCTTAACTTACTGTTAAAATTTACAGCTTTAGTTTTAATTGCAAACTTATTCTATTGCTGTTATAATGTAATGTGTAAGAAATGTATTTAATAATATTACAATATTACTCTTAGTAATTGTTTTTAAATAATATGAAAGTTAAAAAAGTAAAAAAACATATTACAATATTTAAACATTTTAAAATATTTAAAAAGTTATAAAAAATTGTTCAATACTCCAATCACACTGACAAAAAAAAAAAAACATTTTATTTTAAAAATGTATTGAGTTGTTATTGTATAAAACGACAATAAAACAGCAATAAAACAACAATAAAACAATACTGTAAATTTTTTTTTGTCAATAGTAAAAGTTTTTGTTAATAAAAAAAAACACTTCGCTACAATGTTATATTGATGTTTTATGCAGTTTATAAGATTAAAAACATAAAACTCATTTAAAATGAAACAAAGTAAATAAATAGAATTATTACAATTAATAGTAGTAGTAATAGTAATAAATTAATTAATTTGTATTGATAAAAGTTTGTATTGATAAAAAATTAATTAATTTGTACTGATAATTAATTTGTATTGATAAAATTTTTATGACTGGGCAACTCATTCTATTATCTCCTAATGAGGGTACAGCTCTAAAACTCAGTTTTATGGTTCTGAGGCCGGCTGGTAGTCAGGTTTCCCGAACTCTGTGGTAGCTCTCAGAGAGGCTGATTCCATCAACAGCCGAAAAATATCAGAGTACTAACAGTGCCATGTTGCGCATGGATGGTGTCCCTGTTTGTACTTTTGGTGTGCATTGCAGAGGCCACATTTGGAGCCCTTTGTTACGGCTTAGGGTTTATTAAGAGTAATGAGGCTATTGCTTAGTTGTTAAATAGTGTACTGAGTACTATCTATACTTGAGTCAAGTTCTTTATAAATTTAAAATGACTAAAGTACCTAAAACTAAAAAACACAAAAAACCATTGTCATCACCAAGTTCTCTAAACCTATCATTTACTAATATTCGTGGTCTTCGAAGTAACTTTTCTTCTGTTGAGTCTTATCTCTTGCAAAGTTCACCAGACCTACTTGCTCTTTGTGAGACTAATTTAAGTTTGGCTGTCCCATCTTGTGATCTTAGGTTTTGTCTGACGCCAAAACTCGCTATTCCCAGGTCATTAAATCTCGTATCTCATCACAAAAATTAGGCTCTCGAGACTTCTGGAGAATCTTTAACAGTATCAATAATAAGGGCAAATCTGTTATTCCTTCTCTCTTGTATGGTTCAGACTTTGTCACCTCACCTAAAGACAAAGCTGAATTGTTTGCTAAGAACTTTTCATCAATATCATCTCTTGATTCCACTAGTTGCGTTTTACCTGACATAGCCGTCAAACAGGTTGATCCCTTGCTTGACATTCGCATCACTTCAGCTTCTGTATCTAAAGTAATTTCCTGCTTAGACTCTTCAACAGCTTGTGGTCCTGACAACATTCCTGTTGTAGTTTTGCAGAGGTGTTCTCCGGAGCTTTCATCCATACTTTCTAAACTATTTAACAAGTGCTTATCAGAGTCTTGTTTTCCATCATGCTGGAAAGCAGCATCTGTTATCCCTATTTTCAAAAATTCCGGAGAGCGATCTGATTCATCTAACTACCGTCCCATTAGTCTTCTTCCTGTCATAAGCAAGGTTTTTGAATCTTTAATTAACAAACACTTAATCTCTCATCTTGAATCAAATAACTTACTTTCTGATCATCAATATGGATTTCGGTCTTCTCGTTCTACAGCTGATGTGCTAACAGTAATAACCGATAGGTTTTACCGTGCATTAGATAGAGGTGGAGAGGTTAAGGCTATCGCACTTGACATTTCTAAAGCTTTTGATAAAGTTTGGCATGCTGGTCTTCTCCATAAGCTTTCTTCTTATGGTGTAGCTGGTAACGTCTTTAAGATTATTGAGTCCTTTCTTTCCAATCGTAGTATAAAAGTTGTCCTCGATGGACAACACTCTTCTTCACATCCTGTAACTTCAGGGGTTCCTCAAGGTTCAATCCTTGGCCCTATACTCTTTTTAATTTACATTAACGATCTTCCAGATATTCTCACATCTAAGGTGGCATTATTCGCTGACGACACTACCATATACTCTTGTCATGATAAGAAGCCTACACTCTCTGATTGCTTGGAGGGGGTATCTGAGCTTGAAAAGGATCTCACTTCTGCTACAGCATGGGGCTCACAGTGGCTGGTGAACTTTAATTCAGATAAAACTCAATTTTATTCGGCCAATCGTTATCGTAATAATTTAGATCTTCCTATATTTATGAATGGTAATGTACTAGATGAGTCATCTACCATTCATCTTCTAGGATTAACTCTTACTTCTGATCTTTCTTTTAAACCGTATATCAAATCCGTTGCAAAATTAGCATCTGCTAAGGTTGCATCTCTTTATCGAGCTCGACACTTTCTTACTCCAGATTCTATTCTCTATCTCTATAAATCTCAAATCCGTCCCTGTATGGAATACTGTTGCCACATCTGGGGCGGATCTTCTAATGATGCTCTTTCTCTTTTAGACAAGGTGCAAAAACGAATTGTAAACATAGTTGGACCTGCTCTGGCAGCCAATCTCCAACCTTTGTCACATCGTCGTAATGTTGCTTCTCTTTCTCTTTTCTACAAATACTATAATGGGCACTGCTCTAAAAAGCTAGCGTCCCTTGTGCCATCTACTAAAATTCATTCTCGTGTTACTCGCCATTCAATTAAGTCTCATCCTTTTTCTGTGACTGTTCCTAAGTGCTTCAAAAACTCTTATTCTTCTAGTTTTTTTCCTCGAACTGTTCAGTTCTTTGGAATTCGCTTCCTTCATCTTGCTTTCCTGATTCATATAATTTGCAATCTTTTAAGTCATCAGTCAATCGTTATCTTGCTCTACAGATTTAGTCTTTTCTCTTCCAGTAACTTCCAACTCTTATAGTGGTTGCTTGCAGCCTTGTTGGAAGTGAAGATGTTAAAAAAAAAAAAAAAAAAAAAAAAAAGATTATTGTCATAAAACTTTAAACTCGATATTTTTGCAAAAGTAAATAAGTTTAGTATTTTTTTGTAAATTCAAAAAACTTATCAGATACTACTTTTTTCTAGATTTATTGCTTCTTGATCTAGCAGACTTACAAAAACTTAAATATAATTATTTTTTTATTTAAAGTGTTTTTAAGTTGATGTTTTCATTAAAGTCAATTTTTATAGGTATAATATTCTTGAATTTCAAATTATTTAAAAAACAAAAATTATTAATAATTTGACTTGAATAAACTTAAACTTGAATAATTTATTTTTTAAATTTAAATTTTCTAAAATTTTATTTTTATAGAATGTTTTTACTTATTTGACAACAACTTTTGGCTATATTCATTTATCAAACAAAGAAAACCATGAAAAAACAAAATTTCTAAAAAAGGCAAAATAAAAGCAATGTTGACTTGTAAATTTATTAAAAAAAAAAGCCTCTAAAAATTTAAAAAATTGAAATACACCTGTTAAAACTTACCAAGTGTGTCTGGTACTTTTCCAACGTCGTCTGGAATTCTTTAAATCTTTTTTCCAATTCAATACTACGCTGTTTTTCTTTCATGTATCGCTTTTTTTCCCTCTGGTCACAAAAAATAAAAAAACTCCATAAAAAAAAATTTCAAAAAAAAAAAAAAAAATTTTGTTTTGCACCCAGAGCAGAACACCAAACTAGATTTTCTCACAAAATTTTCAGGAACTGTGAAGTCAGGAAATTTTTCAACAACAGTGTTGTCAATAATTTTGGCAGGTAATGTTTTTAAAACAAATTTAAGCAACCACTTATCAATTGACAATCATCAGTCGTCAGAGTAAATGGAAATGCTCATTAAATGAGCTGATCATTTACTGGATGCCATACAATAGTAGCTGACATAAGATTTTGTATGTATACGTATACAAATACATACCAACTTGGTATGTATTTGTATACGTATACTCAGCTGATCAGCTGATGATGGTTTAACAAAATTGCATTATAGTTTTACAGTTTTCCTGGCTAGTCATATTTTATGCATCCTAACAAATTTGTAATTCTTTATTGTTAATTTCATCACTTTTTCTTTTTCTTTTTATTACCCCGTCAAAAAAAAAAAATCAAAATCATCTCATATGCACTTTTATATGAGCATCACTCATCAAAAAAAAACAAAAACAAAAAAACAAAAAAACAAAAAAACAAAAAAAAGTAAATTTAAAACTGAAATTTTACCTGTCTTTCTCCTTTGAGTTCGTTAGCCTGCAACTTCATAACCTGCAACTCTAAACTATCTGGTTTTCTGCGTTTCAAATACAACTCATGGTTACCACTACACAACAACAGAATCTATTAAATGACAAAGTATAAATTACATGTTTGCTAAAAATAAAAAAACTATTAAAAGGCAAAACTATTTGAAGACTTTTATGTTAAAACAAAACAATTTTTACAATAAATTTTTTATTACTAGAAAGTATTAGTTCTAAAATATATTAATAACTTGAGTGGCCTGTGTATTAGACAGTGGGCTGTGTAATACATAATTTTAGTCCTAAACCATAATAAAACTTTTAGTGGTCTTTGTGTTACATATGTAAGTCTGCTTAAAACTGCAACTATTTAAAATTGCTTTGATATATATTTGATATTTGATACAAAAAAAATCATGGATAAATGCAGTAGTGTCCAAAAATAATTGGAAAAACAGATTTTTTGTAATATTATCTCATTAAGCTAACTTTTTATAATGAAACTTTATAAAAGTATCTCAAATTATGAAAAATATTTGGGAGTGATTACTCGAAATTTCATTAAAAGAATGAAAATGGTTGAAAACATGTAAGAGAAATGGTTGAGAAACTGTACAAACTAAATGTGCAATTTAAAAACAGCCTCAACAAATTTTTAAATTTTCAGCATGTTTTATTATGATTTTTGTTACACAATGAATATAATATTACATAATGTTACTTTTTGTTATGTTATACATATAATTTTGATAATTTTTATTAATATATTTCTATTATATTCTTATTATACATATTTACCTCTCTATTCATACTAACATCATTAGAAATAAAGCAAAAACTTTGAACATCTTTTCCCATTGGCTCAATCAATATCTAAATTTAAATAGAAGTAAAATAAGTTAATGAAACATAATCAATAAAAATCACAAAAAAAACCTTTACTGTTTTTATAGTTTGAAGTTTTTTCTCAAATGAATTAGTTCAAAACTTTATTTGAGAAAAAAAGTTTTTTTACTAAAAAAAAATTAGTTGATTTATTTATTCAGCGGCAATCAGCTGCTTAATAAATAAAAAATTCACTGATCGGTAAATCATTTTTGCAAAGTAAAACACTGATAAACTGGTATCAATAAATCACAGATGCCAATGCATCAGCCAATGAATTGCTATCAACCTGTACAAATTGGAATCAAAATTGACCAAAAGTAAGCATTGGTGCATCTTTAAAATATATAAACTTTTATATTATGTATAAAATATTTAATATATTTAAGTGTGATCTTTTTGTAGAAATAGGAATGCAGGATCTAGTCTCCTACATAATAGCTTTAAAAGCATAATGTTAGTAAAATGTTAGCATGATGTTGTTTATTATGGTAGTCTTTTTTTAATGTTTCTTTAAAAGACTCTAAAAGTTTTCAAATGCCCATTTACAATCCTGATGCTATTAGTTTTGTATTGTAAAACAGATTTTTTCAAAAAAATATCTTTAAACCAGAATGCATTGCAATAATAAAGTAAAAAGTTACATATGTAGAAAAACATATATTCATTTGTGGATCGTCCATAAATTACATAACACAAACTTTTACAATAAACAAAACAAAAAAGATCAAAGGTTTTGCCTGGCATTGTCTTAAATTTAAATAAAAAATCAAAATAGCCTATTAAATTTAATGAAAATTGCAGCCTAAAAGAGCTTAATATCTCCTATTTCTGTTTTTTCAATATATTTTGTGTTGCGTAATTTATGGATGATTCCTTTTTTAATACAATCACTTTCATTCTAAAAATTTCATGTCAATTGTTTTAAACCATTAGTTTAACATAAACTGTATATTAGTGATGTAATAATGGTAAAGAACGATTATGGCTAATAATAGGTTTGAATGTATTTATATAAAGGTATTGTAATAATGTTAAGGATGTAAAATACATATATAACATGTACCTATATATCAGCATTGACTCGGTCTACAAGCTTATGCCATTTGTTAACAGCAAACAATTAACCGGCTTAACCATTAGCTGAATAATTGGCCAATGGCATCGGTTGATTAATTAGGTTTGGTTGATACATCAACATTGGCTAATAAGCCAAATTAAACTGGTGCATTGATGCACCTTATATATGCACATTGCGTACCCAATATTAATATATTACCATTATATACATACATCAAACCCTATCATTAGCCTCAATAGGCCTTTGCTATCAGTGCATCACAAATGTACATATTCACTTAAATATATATATATATATATATATATATATATATATATATATATATATATATATATATATATATATATATATATATATATATATATATATATATATATATATATATATATATATTGCAAATATATATATATATATATATTTGCAATATATATATATATATATATATATATATATAAATAATGCAAATATATATATATATATATATATATATATATATATATATATATATATATATATATTTGCATTATTTATTCAAGTAAACAAGTACATAACATCAAGTAAACATTAACATTAATATAAACTCTCTATAATCATAATAATAATTAAAAAAATACTTTTAATAACATTAATAAATATTTTACCTGAGTATTTTTGAAACTAATATTTTTTATTTCACTCCAAATAAAGGAAACCTTAGGCACAAGTTTATTTTCATAAGAATAAATATTTATGCCAGTCGCTTGTATTCCTAACCATAACTCTGTTTGCTTGTCATTCTGAATAATAATAAATAAAAAAATCAGGAAATATATCAACAACTTAATGAAAGATTGAAAATACCTACTAACTTTTCTTTTAAACAACAAACCTGAATTAAATAATATCCTGTGCCATACATTTCAAGATCTTGAGCAATCTTCAAGTATTCCATCTCTGCTTCTGCCCTAATAACCATAAACTTATTTTTAATAAAAAAAACTTAGTATTTCCAAAAGTGCTCTTTTTTCCAATATTTTTAACTAATAAAAAAACAAGCACTTTTTTAAAAAAAAGAAAAAAAAAAAAGATTTGAGAGCTGACTGATTCAACTGCAACTCATTCAACATACAGCTGCAACTCATTCAACATACAACTGCTGCCAATCAAGAATATCCTAGACACAGAAATTTTTTAAGGAGGTGTTGAATATAATTTTTTATAGGATTTTCTTAATTTTTTATAGATCACCTATGGAAAAATAAAGAAAATTTTCATAAGTCATAACAATTATAATAACATATTTAAACACTGCCCTAATGAACTGTTTTTGGCAAATATGTCAAAATCTAACTTTCTGCACTTAGAGTGTTCTTGATTAGGAGCATAGTATGAGCCACATTAAACCCATGGCATTTTGAGTCAAGCTTATTTAAGCATTGCTTTCATAGTCTCACAAAATAATAAAATATTTTAATTTATTACTTTAAATAACCAATATTTATCTTAAATAATCAATTAGTTAATGTTAACAATTAATTACCAATCAAATTAATAATAATAATAAATAGTAATTAACAATTACTAATAAAATTAATAATTAAATTAACAATTAATAATAAAATTAATAAATAAAATTAATAATTAAAATTAATAGTTAAACAACTAATTAAAACATGTTTCAAAATCCATCTCAGTTGAAATTTAAACTAAAAGTATAAAAAGGTGGAATAATAACTATATAAAAATTCCAAAAGACTTGGAGTTTTCATAGGAACCATAGTACTAGTTTTGTTACTGAAGCAAGAATAAAAATAGTCTGCTAATTTTTTAATGGCATGATTAACAGATAATATTTTGATACTTACTATAGCAACAAAGCTAGCGCTATGGTAACAAAGCTAGCGCTAAGGTAACAAATGGAGGTAATGGTATTACGATTGCAGAAAAAGTCTTACAATATGCAACTAACTGATGTAAGATGATGTTAAAGATGATGGAAATCCTTGACATCTTTACATTAAAACAAAGAACTTGAACATTTTTGTGTGGAATTTTTATTGGATGTTCCCTTCATTTTCAACCCAAATTCCAAATGGCTTCAAAATTAATGTCAACCTAATGCTATATATATCTGATGTAATTTGACACTGGGTTTGTCACCTTTCTTTTAAAAAAGTATTTTTTTAAATATTTTTTCATATTTATATATCACTTTTATAATTATATTTTGGCATAAAGTTAATTATAGTTTTTTTTTATCACATTCTAAATAATTCACTACCCTAATGGTTATGTAATAGTATAAAAGTTATCCTTGATGGGCAACACTCTTCTTCATATCTTGTAACTTCAGGGGTTCCTCGAGGTTCTTCCCTTGCCCTTATACTTTTTTTAATTTACATTAATGATCTCCTCTGAAATTCTCCCATTTAGGGTCAATTTTTTTCAAGTAATCATTATCACAATAATAAGTCTTCCTTTATTTAAGATCGGTTATGTACTTGATAAGTCATCTACTCTTCATCTTCTAGGATTAATTCTTACTTCAGATCTTTCTTGGAAACCATACATCAAATGGATTGCAAAATTAGCATCTGCTAAGGTTGCATCTCTTTATTGTGCTTGCCACTTTCTTACTCAGTATTCTATTCTTTATCTCTAGAAATCTCAAATCTGTCCTTGTATGGAATACTGTTGCCATATCTGGGGCAGATCTTCCAACTATGCAAAAACGCTTTGTAAACGTAGTTTGACCTGCTCTGCAACCAACCTCCAACCATTATCACATCGTTGTAATGTTGCTTCTCTTTCTCTTTTCTATAAATACTATAATAGGCACTGCTCTAAAGAACTAGCATCTCTTTTGCCATCTACTAAAATTCATTCTTTTGTTACTCATCATTTAATTAAGTTTCAACCTTTTACTGTGACTGCTCCTAAGTTCTTCAAAAATTCTTATTTGTCTAGTTTTTATCCTTAAACATCAGTTCTTTGGAATCCATTCCCTTCATCTTTTTTTTCTGATTCATGTAATTAGCAATTCTGATTCATGTAATTTGCAAATTTTAAGTCATTTGTTCAATAAATCTTTATCTTGTTCTATAAACTTCATCTTTTCTCTTCCAATAACTTCCAACTTTAATAGTGGTTGCTTGCAGCTTTGTTGGAAATAAAGATGTTGAAAAAATAATAATAATAAATGATTAAGTTCAGTTAAATGTTTAGTAAAAAATACTTTTTGTTTTAATTTTTCACCTATCCCCTTATAATTTTTTAGACTGCCTTTTAAAAGCAATAATTTAATTTTACTATTTCTACTGTATTTTTTTATGCATTTGGTTAAACTCAATTTCAAACCAGTTTTAACTAATTTATAATTATTAATTTGAGTCTCAAACTCAAATACAAATATATATTAAAAAAAAAAAAAACTCAAATCATAATTTGAAACCTGTTCAGAGCCTTAATTTTTAATTTATTTGTATGTGTGCATACTTTCCTTAAGTTTTTAATTAGATTTGTTAAAGACAGAACCCCAAATAAAAGACATTCATTTAGGCACAATTTATTACAAACTTTTAATAATTTATTTAGGCATAATTTAAAATTATTTAGCTGTTTTATTTGAATGTATTATGTAGATTAATGTAATGTATATATATAATACCATTTTTTCTTAAATACTGCATATATATATGCGGTGGTGGTGTAGTGGTAAGAGCGCTCTCTTTGTAAGCAAGAGGTTCGGAGTTCAACTCCCACGTTGAACTCTGAACCACGTCCCTGGAAGTACCACGCTCAACTTAATTTCTCCGCACAGCGGTCTTGCTTGTCAAGGTTCGTGTTTCGGAGTTAAAGAGTTGAGAGAGGGTTTTACCACAATTTACAACAAAAAAATAAATAAATAAATAAAAAAAAAAAAAAATGAGTAGCCTCCTCGACTGTAGTGGCCCCCTCGGGCCTTGGAGAGGTGAATAATTAAAAAATATATATATATATTTCTTGTTATTATACTATTCTATAGAATAGTACAGTGGTGGCCAAACCACTGTCCATGGGCAAAAAAAATCCCCGCAGAGACTTTTTTAATGCCTGCTAAACAATTTGGATATTTATGAGACAACCATCTTAATAATGTAACTTCTATCTACCTCAAAAATTAATCCAGACATTGAAAACCTAGTTTCAGACAGTCAAGTTCATCACTCTTAATAATTATATTGCTTTGATGCAAATGATTATAATAGTTATTAGTCACCTATATTATGCAGAAATAAATATTTTTTGCCTTCAAAATTATCCCGTATCCTAAAAAGTCTGGTCACCCCTGGAATAGTATAATAACAAGTTATTTGAAAAAAAAATTCAAACATTAAAGCATACAAATACTGGCTGAGCATGAATGGCTGAGCATGAATGACTGAGCAATTCATGAACATTTCAACAAATTGCTACTAACATATATTCCTAGAGTAGTTTGTTTTATCTAAAATATATTACCTTAAAAGTATAGTAATATTAAAACAACCTCGAAAGACCTGTAGGATGATCAGCATACAAGCTTTTAATTCGTTCAACCCATTGTTCATCAGTTAACTGGTACATATTTTTTACCTATGTAAACAAATTCTACATATATATTATTCTTATTAAATAAACAAATTTATTTACGAAAAATAAATTTAACCTTCTTTGTTAAACTCTCTCTATATATATTGCATAACATAGAAGAATGCCTTATTTTGGCATAAAATTACTTTCAGCTGTTCACCAAACTTATTGACTTATTGTTTTTACTTATTTGATAATTTAAATCTAAGATCAAATAACAATACTATTATTTTAGTAAATTTGATTGAAATTCAAAATAAAAGTGCATCTATTAAAGACATGATGCATAAGACATTATATACATTTTACATTTAATATTTTTACACGGCTGCATTGTTTTTTACATGGCTGCATTATTTTTTACATGGCTGCATTGTTAACACAACTTTCCTATAGCAATAGTAATATATTATTAACACTTTTAAAAGAAGCATTTTTATAAATGATGTTTATATATAACTAAAAAGAATTTTAAACCATAAATTACAAACAAAAATAATTTATTATAAGTTTGAAACTTTTTGAAATTTGCAGAATTAATAATTGAACATTAAAACTATATTTTGGAGACTAAACAAAAATATATAAAAAGACTGCGAGTTATTAAACCTGTTTTTTTCAACAGGTTTAATAACTCGCAGAATGAATGCTAAAGAACTTAATGACTGATAAAGGCTAGCAAAAAATGGAAAATACACAAAACTATTAGAAAATATGTTTTAAACATGCATTATATCTGTTTATTATCATTCTCTCTGCTATTTAACATTATTTCCATTATCCATCTGCATCATACTAATATTCAAAATGTTTTATATTAAGAGATAATTTAAAAAGTTTAGATAAAAAGAAAATTATAAGCAACAAACAGCAATAAAAAATATTACATTCACAAAAGCTACATTACAAGCAACAGGACATTGTACGCAACATGATAAACGACATCATTTAATTACAAACACAATATCAATGTATACACTCCACAACACTGCTGGATGGAAGATTTCTAGGTATTTAAACACAATATCAAGGTATTGATATTGTGTATAAATGCTACTACAGCTAGCACTGCTAATGCTAGTACTGCTACTACGACTGGATGAAAATTTAATAATTGAGCAACACACTAACCAACTGGGTTGCAGTCATCTGAGTTGCAACTTCATAATTAATATAATCAATATCATAAGCAACATTAAAATATAAATCAAAACCATTGAACATCCTAACTTAATCCTTTTTAATTAGAACAACGTTTATTTGTTTACTATTTTATATGTCAAGGTTAAATGGTAATTATAGCTTAAAAGCATTGTAATGTTAATAATAATAATAAAAAAAAAAGACAGTTTTAACAGATGGTTTAGTCAGTAAGCCAATATTTGAAACACTATTTGTAACAAGTTTATAAACATTAACAAAAAAATTAATTTGTTAAAAAAAAATAATGACAATAATTACTTTATTTGATTATTTGTGGACAATCCTTTGCTTTAAGTTATGTTTTATACATACATAAATATTTTATTTATCTATAATAAACTTTTCTTTGGATTTAATCCAACCCATAAAATATCAGGTACAGATACTGCATTAAATAATATACTAAATTATATGAAACAGGTTTGTGAGATTTTTTCTTGAATCACTTTTATCCCTTATTATTATCTATTAATATTATTATCTATTATTACTATTATTACTTTACTATTATTAACTTACTATTGTTATCTGTTAAAAAAAATGATTATTATTATATATTCTACTATTTGGTAGGGAAAATAAAAAAGTAATATTAATCAGTTTACTCTTTTAGGAAGTAGCTGTTCATCTAACAGAAAATCTTTATGACGTAGCTCTTCATCAAAATCTCCATACTAAATTGCAAATATAAAATCTCAAATATAAAATGCAAATATAATAATTATATTTCCTGCAAAATAACAATACAAAAATAAATAATTCTTTTTTATTAAATTATATATTAAATTTAAAATACAGTTATTTATGTTATGAAATAGGTTTTACCAGAAATTGAAAAAAATACATAGTTTTAGTTGACACTTTAATCAACAACTTTTTAAATAGTGAGACATACCTTTGCTTGAACAGCAAAAGCTGCCATAAGTACTGCTTCTCCAGCAGGACAATAGATATTTTCATTCAGAATTTCATTTTTAACATGTATGAAAAATAATTGCTGCGTAATATTTAAAATAAGTCCTTGTTCAACATCTTCAGGATAAAATTCGACTCTCAAATATAGTTTCACAGTATTTATTTCACCTCCAAGCTCATTGCGCAACTAAATTTTATAAAAATAATAAATGAGAGTATAAAATATATAAAGAAAGAAAAAAAGGTCTTTATTTTAATTTTTAAGCCAAATACAGTGTCATAAGGGTTAACGGTACCAGATAAGTTGCGCATATGATAAATGTGTAGGAGAATCTTCTCAATGGTCTAAAAGCGCATATTCATAGTTATAACACTATCAGCTTGGAAAGTGACTACAGCGCAGCACAGAAATCAAATGGCTAAGTTATTTGCAAAAAAATTGGTTGATCAGCACTTCATGTCAATGGCAATCTATATTCTTTATGTGTGTAGAGTAATAAAAATTTTTCAGAGGTATTAGGTTTAACTCACCACAAACAAATAAAAGTTATAAGCTTTATAAATAAACAGAAAAAAAAGTATATATATTATTAGGTAATATCTAAGTTCATTGTAATGTAAACTATTATTATTGTTATTAAACCTTTTAGTAATATTAACTTTGCAATAATTAACATCTAATAATCAAAAGTAAAATGTTTACAAAAGATAAAAACTTTGTTAAAATAAATTTTGTTGTGCTTTCATTTGAACTATTTATTTAAAAGTCAGTTAAAATTTTCTTGAAAAAACAAATTAATTCAAATTTTATTATCTTATTTTCTTGCTCTCTCACTAAGAGTTTTTTCAGAATTATTTTTTCAAAGTCATACTTCAATAACTTTTTTCAAATTAATATTTCCTAAATGTTTATTGATTGAAAATGAATTTTTAAAAATAAAATATAAAAATTATAATTATATATTTGTATATTGATAAAATACATAATTTGTTGCTGTAAATTAGATATTGAATTAACTACTAAATTAAAATATTTAATTACACATATAACTTAACTATATAGTATTTAATGTAATAAATGATAAATTGTTTACTTAGAAATTTAAGAATATACCAATAACAATATCGCTTATGTTTTTATTTAAAGGTAAAACAAAAAAAAATGTTTCAACGCATGAAGTTAAGTCTTTGCTCGAGCATGCCATTTGCAGTTTAAAAAGATTCAAAGAAAATCCGGACTTGGGTTTTTACTTGATGAAGCGCTCAATATATGGGATTGTAAATTTGCATGAAGTGATAAAATATGAAGCTCGAGTTTTTATTGCTACATCCACGAAGAAGTGTATTTTGAACAAGTGCAAGCTCAAAATCATTTCCACCGCTAACTTGGACATTCATGTTAATAAAATTTCGTCTGAAATCAGAATTTATTCATGTAATTTTTTACCTTTAAAATTTAAATTTAAAGCTTGCACCTCAGCATCATGGCTACATAATATATATCTATACCATATAATATAAGTTACCTATTTTATTAATTTGATTATTGCTTCATTTAAATCTAATATGTTTTTTTTTTCTTATAATTTTATTTATTGAAAGTTTTGACCTGCATAATATTTATATTTAAAATCATTTCTTTGTTTTCTATTTTTCCATTTAGGTTAAAACTGAAATATTTACTGTATTAGGAATTCTATACTTTTTAATAATTTAAAATGTAAGAAACATTAAAAATTAAACTATTCTTGGAGACATGTAACCTTTTTGATGAAAAAAGAGTTAGTTGCCTCAAAATTCCTAAACTTTTAGACTACTCCTGTTCACACTATTCGTAAACTTCTAGAAATCCATAATTGATTACTCCATATAAAATTACATTGTGTTTATTAAGCATTTTGTATTTTTTATCTAGGTTTACCTGTAGTTCTCCATTGCCCTGTAAGACACAGTGATTTTTTGATTTAATTTACACAGTCTGTGTCACATGTCTTAAAAAAAAGGTAAAAAATAAATTCCGGTATTCCGGCCTGAAATATTATAATTCTGGCCAGAACCGGAATGAACTAAAAGTAACAAATTCTGGCCGGAACAGAAATCTAGTTTTGTTGAAATTTTTTATAGCTAAAACACATTTTTAAACATTCTTTAATGTGAACACAATATGTGTTGGGATTCCTTTTAAACTACTTAGAATGTACTATTGCAAACTTATATATTTTTTTAATTTTTTTTAAAGACCCCATTATTTCAAAATAATATAAATCCAAATCTGTTCTTTATAACCCAACCTTATTGCGTGCTCTTTGTAATAATTTTATACAGATAAGGCCTGGATTTAAAAATATTGTTACTTAAAGTTACCATGGTTTCTGAAAAATCACCTAATTCTCAAAAAATAAGTTTAATTAAAAATAAATAAAGTTTTAATTAAAAAATAATTGTTAATTTTTATGGAAATATTTTAGGTTTAATAATATAACATTCAAGCAATAATATAAATTATTGCTTGAATTTGTAAAAAGAAAGTTAGTTTGTTGTCATGTTATAAAAATATGGTTGCTTCATTGTTGTGCTTCTTGCTGGAAATCTACAATTGTTATAGCAAGTGACTTATTTAAAACATGCACTGACATTTGTAACGTAAGTTAAATAAAATAAAATTATAGATCAAGTATGTATATGTTTCTAAGATCTTTTCACTTAATGTATATAATATACATATTTGAATTTTTAAATTTTCCTTAAGCACTCTTTATAAAATTTGTAGGTTACTATTTTTATAGTGAAATTTCCAAATTGTAAAAAAGTTAAATCATGGAAACCAAAAAAATAAATTTTTATTGTCGCAAATTTGATTGTCAAAAATGTAAAAAAGGAAGTGTCACAAATTGTTACATTTTTCTTTGTTGAATAACAGAATAAGGAATGTCGCAAATGAACTTAATGAATAGTGTTGAAAATAAAAAAGAGGAATAGTATCGCAAATGAACTTAATGAAAATAGAAAAAAGGAATAATATCCTAAATGAGTTTAATGAGTAGTAACAAAAAAAATAAATTATAATAATTATAAATGTGTATTTAGATAATATCTCTGGTGTCATACTAAAATAGCTAGCTGCCTGGGGCTTCAGTAAATATATTAACTATCTAATAACCTGCTGCCGCAAAGGAGTGCCACTACATCAGCTGAGGGTTTAGTAGCAATCTTTTCTTTCATTATACTTTGTTTATTTCTTTTTTTTTCTGTAAAAGCCATATGCTATAAAGATAAGCAAAATGAGTATGCAATTGCTGAAAATAACTATTTGCGACACTATTCCGTTTTTACTATTTTTGACACTATTCCTTTTTTTTGTTTTCGACACTATTCATTAAATTTATTTGCGACATTATAATAATGAAAAAAAAAGGAACAATTTATTCTTTTTTTTTTTTTTGCAACATTAGGCCTCAAATATATTATTCAACATTATTCTGAAGTTTATTTTTTGACACTATTCCTGTCACCCATACTATCTACAGACCTAGTGATAAAGCCCTGTATATGATATCAATACAAGATGTTAAAATTTATAATTATTAATTAAACATGTCTATAAAACAAATAAATCCAACTTATATGCCAACACAAATTATATAATTAAAATATATCCAACACAAATTATAACATTTCCTATAACAAAAGTGTAAATGCAAATGCAAATCAAAAATGTTATATGCAAAGTAAAGTTACTTATTTTAGTTAAGCTACTTAACAAAACTTTTTTGATTTTTTCTCTTTCGTTAACCTTCTCAAAACACAACCATTAACACACCAATCTATAAATTCACTTGACATACTAAATAAATAAAAGTTTGTTAAACAAATACCTTTTTGTCCATTCGAAGCCAACATTGTGTTTTATTAGGTTTTTCATAGTACAAACCAAAATAATAACTTTCACGTAAACCAATAACTCTGCAAACCAAATCAAATAACTCATTTCCTTTTAGACTATCCTAGATGTATTTAAGAAATATTTATTTAAAGTTATCTAAAATTAAAAGTATTTTTTTAAAAAATATTTTTCTTTTAATAAAAAAAATAGCTTTTAGGAATACAAACATTTTATATGTTCGGGTATGTCCTTGAAGTATGTCAAACTTAAGGAACAATTTAAGGAACTAAGTGGTTGGATCAAGTCTTTGTAAAACATTTTTCTTTGTCTTTTTTTTGAAAAAGTATTTTGCATCTTTAAATAAAAATTACTGCGTACATAGGTGAGCATGAAACATTAGATGACATAATTAAATAAGAAAACTAGTAAATGCATCAACTGAGGGCTAAGGCTCGGAAATGCAGTAAATTTTAACTACGTTACTAATATTAATATATCTATATTATTATTTGAACACAAAGAAACAAGAATTGAGATGGAAGGATGTAACTTGACAGAATAAAAAGTTATTCAAGACTTTTATTGAGAGGAAAAAAAATAAAAGCTTGTTTAAACAGCAACCATGGCAACCATGTTGCAACTTGTAAAAAATAAAAAGATCAATGTTAAGGATTCAAATATGGCCACTTGAACAGTTTATAATTCATTTTCACACAACATTTTTAGAAGAGGTCAAAAGTAAAAGATTATCTGAGAAGAAATAGAAATACCAAGATTGTAGAATTAATAGTTCACTAATTTATTTTATTATGTCTCAAAGCATATTTATAACAATTATTTTATTGTCTCAAATTTTTGTCTCAAAGCATATTTATAATAATTATTTATAACAATTATTTTAAAATAATAGTTCACTAATTTATTTTATTTAAGTTATTATTCCCCAGCCACTACAAGCCACAGGCAATCACAGAAGAGAGATATTATATTCAAGACCAGTTATCTGTTCTAAACACTCATAAAGTGACATTTTATTAAGACTTGAATAATTATATTCTTGAATAACTTGAATGTAATAATTAATAACTGAATTATTAATAAACAAAGCCACTATTGTAATAAGATTGTCAAGAAAATTGACAGAACCTTCTAGTACTAAGGCTGCTCGAAATGAAGAATACCCGGTTAAGAATAGTAATGAAATAAAGTATTGTCTTTGATACTGTGATAGGAGGAGAAACTATTAATAATTTTCTAAATCTTTCTGATACACTTTATAAAGTTTATAGATAAAAACAGCGTGCCTAATTCCTTTAATATGTCAAAAGCAACAAGTCTTGCCTTGACTGGATAACAATTGTGCAAAACAAAGAAAACCTTGGAAAGCAGTAATGATTGATTCCAACTCGAAAAACACACAAAAAAATAAAACTTTCTATGTCTGCCTGAATCCAATAAGTTACATAAAAATCAAAATTTTCATCAGAAAGATTGAAGACATTAACATGAAGTTAAATTTCCAATAAATAAAATTACCAATAAAACAAGTTGTTCTTGTTAAAAAGCAAGAAAACAGCTGATAGAAGATTTGAAAAATTGTTGGGTGAATAAGTCAGGAAAATATGAAGATGGGAAAGAGTTGCAAAGTATTGATAGGCAAGAAAACCAGATAAAAGGCTGATGCAATTAACAACAAGATGATTACTTTTGCTTCCACTCATATTAATGGCACTATCAATATACACTATTAATTTTAGTATAATGTGCAATCTAATACCAAAAAAATATTTTTTTCATTCTTAGATTTAATATTTAAACTTCAATTTTAACATTTTTGATAACTGGAATGCATGCATTTATACAGCAATAATAAACAATAATCATAAAATAACAAAAATAAAAATTACAACCATATTATTTTACAATAAGTTAATAAGGATGATGTCATTTATACAGAAGTTTGATCAAAGAAGTGACACCAAAAAGGAAGAAGGTAAAGTAAAGCGATTCCAATTAAAGAGCATATATTTTTCAAAATATTCAAACCTGATATTACAACAAATAAAAGAATTTTTTTTTTTTAAGTTCTGATTCACTCCCAACAAGGCTGCAAGCAACCACTATTAAGTTGGGAGTTACTAGAAAAAAAGAATAGAATTATAGAGCAAGGAAACAGTTGACAGAAGACTTAAAAAGTAGAAGGTTTTTAGAGTATGCAGGGACATATGCAATAAAGAATGAGACTTTGATGAATAACGAGTCAAGGGAGAATGAGTTTTAGTTAATGGAACTAGAGATGCAAGCTCCTATGCGCAGCAACCATGATAGTATTTGTAGAAAATAGAAAGAGATGCAACTTTACAACGATGGGAAAGAGGTTTAAGATTAGCAGATAAACCGGGTCTAACTATGGTTTCGATGCATCTTTGGACCTTGTCTAGAAGAGAAAGAGCATCATTAGAAGAACCAGCCCAAATATGATAACAATATTCAATACAGGGATAAATAAGAGATTTGTAGAGGTAGAGAATGGAATCAGGAGGGAGAAAATGGCGAGCACGATAAAGAGAAGCAAACTTAGCATATGCTAATTTGGCAATTGATTGTATTTCTGGTTTCCATGAAAGATCAGTAATAAATGATAATCCAAGAAGACATAAAGAAGAGGACTCAGTGAGACGGTTGCCATTCATCAATATAGGAATGTCAACAGTACTGCAATAGTTGTTTACAGTAAATAATTGAGTTTTGTTGGAGTTAAAACTTACTAGCCACTGTGAGCCCCAATCTGTTACAGAAGTGAGATCAGATTCAAGATATTATTGATGACTATCTTTAACAACAATAGTGCATAGCAAGGAGGTAGAATAGAGTTGCAAGCAAAGTCCATTAAATGCAGCCTGTTTTAAATTATTAATAATCATAAACATTAAAATTAAATTGAATCAAGCAATTAATTATTTAATTTTTACCAATAAAATTCTAAACTTTGTATTTACAAACTTTAATATGAAATCAATAGCACAAAAAAATTTAAAAGTAATAATACCTTAACATAAAATTCAAGTTCTTCTCCTGGTTTTGTAACTACATGTATATGAGCTTGAGTAGACTTTGGCATGACTCATCCTATATTGTAATAATGTACTTTCTGTTTTCATAAAATATTTTCTTAAACAATAGAAATTATTTTTAAAATTTACAAAGCAAGAAGTTTGATTTGTAAATTTATATATGTATGTATGTATATATATATATATATATATATATATATATATATATATATATATATATATATATATATATATATATATATATATATATATATATACATATATATATATATATATATATATATATATATATATATATATATATATATATATATATATATTTATATATATATATATATATATATATTTATATATATATATATATATATATATATATATATATATATATATATACATATACATATATATATATATATATATTTATATATATATATATATATATATATATATATATATATATATGTATATGTATATATATATATATATATATATATATATATATATATATATATATATATATATATATATATATATATATATATATATATATATATATGTCAGGTCTTGTTTTAAAGCATTAAACAAAGAGCAATTTATGTACGCCTTGAGCGATTTTACATAAGCAGAAAGCGATTTCAGTTAAGCGACTTTTTATCATTTTTTAACTTTTAAATTATTCAATAAGCAGTAATATAAAAGAAGTAATTAATTTTTAAAGAAAGTCGCATTAACTTTTAAATGACGTTTTTGTAAAAACATTTGTTACAAAAGTTTGAATGACAATTATACATAAAATAAGCGCTATTTACTAATGAAAAAAACTTTTTAAGTTTTTTTCATTAATAAAGTAAAATTAAGAAATAAAAGTTTATTTTTATTTTGTTTTTATTTTATTGTAACAATTAATTTTTTAAGCTTGAAGCAAAGATAATAAAAACATTTAACTCTGATAAAAAATATATTATTTAATTTAAAAGAAACTTAATTTTATTCTAATAAAAACAAAGCAATAAAAAAGAGGAGAAGTAGTTTCGAAACGTAGACATAAAAATAAATTCCTTCTTTCATTATTTGACAGCGGAGATTAGTTTTCCATTACGTGTTCTTGTACTAAGACATCAGAATTCATTCTACTGTAGTTTGCAATTTTCAAACGGTTTTTTATATTTTTGATTTTGTACTTCATGGCTGATGATTGCCGATAGGCATGAAACTTTAAGTTCCATTAAAAGTTGTTTTTTCTATATTTAAGTGTGTATATATATATATATATATATATATATATATATATATATATATATATATATATATATATATATATATATATATATATATATCAGTGATACACTTAAGGTTGCCCGATAGCAAATGCCCTCTGAGTCTTTCAAAGGGCTACTGGAAATAATGTTTTGATGAAATTGAGTCACCTGGCAAGGCAACTATTTAAATTGGTTTCTTTTTTTAACTTATTAATGAAGTTACTCATTATTTAAATGACTTTTTGCAGCAATTTGCATTTCTACAATTAGAAACGTTTCTGCTGCTAAAGGTAAATTTGTTCCTTTTTTGAAAGACTATTACTATTTATCAATAAATAGCTTTTGATAATTACTTTTTAACCTAATGTAACAATAAAGCAACATTTTTAAATTCTAATTGTTAAAGTTAATTTTTCTTCTTTTCTATTAACTTACCTCATTCTATTTAGATTAGAATGCTCGTTTTCGCTTTTTATAAAAAAATAATGAAAGTTTTGAAGTCATAACGGCTATAAGCAAATATTTTTATGAAATTAAATTATAAAAATTTCTTCTTTCGTTAAAAGATTTGTTGAAAACGCCTGCTTTAAACAATATAATAAAATTTTAATATACAAATAAAGTTTTGTTATAAGCTGTATAATATTAAACGTTTCAATGTTATATTATTAAAAATAATTAAATATAATGATACATTTTTATTTTAGTGAATTTCTTCATAAAATTTTGTTTGGAAGCTATTTTTTTTTTTTGCAATTATCGATCATTCAAAATTTTCTCTTTAAAAAGAGCAAGTGCGCAAGATGCGAAGATGTTTATAACATTAGTTAAAATGTTTTTTAAAAAACTTATTTTAAAAGTCATTAAAATTGTAATTTTTATTCAACAAAAGTTTAATTACATCAAACGTGACACAAATAAAAATCTGAGACATTTTAAACACTACTTTATAAATCCATCAATGGTTTTCTTACAATAAATATAACATATCATAACTGCTGAGGTTGAAAAAATGTAATTAATCTTCTTTATAACTTTATAATCATCAAATATGAAAATATAATTTTATTCCTAATGAAAACACACACTTTAAAAAACTCATTTAAGACATATTTAGAACATAAATAAAACTTTTTTTTTAATGATAATGGGCGACTCAAAAGGCAGATGACCAAGATTAGCTAAACTATTACTATCAGTCACCTATTGGACAACCAACCAAAATCTGAGTGTACACCATAGTATATATGTATATATATATATATATATATATATATATATATATATATATATATATATATATATATATATATATATATATATATATATATATATATATATATATATATATATATATATATATATATATATATATATATATATATATATACAGTGTGGCACCATGTACATTAAGGCGTCAGAAAAGTTAGTCCAACCCCCCAAAAAAATATTAAAAAATAAATATATTTTATTTTATTAAATGTTTAAAATATTTGCCATTATTATTTATGCATAGTTGCATCCTTTCCTACCACTTCTCAAATGTTTTCCTATAGTCTTCAATAGGTATGCCTAAAAGTATCTTTGTAATTTGTTCAATGTCTGTATGATTATCAAGATGAGTTTTGATGCAGTCAAATATCCAAAAATCTGACGGAGCAAATCCAGCTTGATCTAGGAAAGTTTTCACTGCTTTTTTTTGACATAGGGTCTAGCCTTGTCATAAAGAAATTTCATATTTTTTCTACCTGAGGCAGGTCTTTGCATGTTTATTTTTTCTATATTTGGCTTCAGGCAATTTTCAATGTAATAATAAGTTATAGTCTTACGTTAGTAGAAATCATACAAGACTCACTAGGGTTGAGAAAATTATCATTACGTTGGATACCCCACCAATTAACAGAAAAAATTAAAAGGAGACTTTTTCCAAATAACTAGACTTTTTCCAAATAATCAATATGAACAACATTTGTTGCCTTAAAGAAGATTGAATACATATTTTTTGTTTCAAAATGGGCCTGTCATACTAGTGTTCTTGGAGATTCACCTTCGGCTACCCAGCTCGCATTAGATGACTTGTGTTCAATCTATCTCAAGGTAAACCAAGATTCATCACCAGTAATAACATCACACAATTGCCATTTACCTTCTTTAAATTTTGCTAAGTTTTCATGACAAGCTTCAACTCTCTCCTTTTAATTTTTTCTGTTAATTGGTGGGGTATCCAATGTAATGATAATTTTCTCAACCCTAGTGAGTCTTTTATGATTTCTACTAACGTATCTTGGATAATAAATAATTGCTTTATAATATCATCAAAAATTGAATGAGGATTATCTTCAATTATTTGCTGAACTAACTTGATATTTGCAGATGTATGTACAGTAATTGGGCGTCCAGAGCGTAGATCATCTTCTAAACTCTCTATTCCATCATTGAATAAAGCACCCCATTAGGTAACTGTTCTATACTTTGGTGCTTGGTCCCCATAAACTTTTACAAGTTCATTGGATATCTCAAGTGATAGAATTCCAAGCAGAGCACAAGTTTTAATATATGCTTTAATATATTCAAATTTATTTAATTTATAAAGATTTTTTTTAAAGTGTTTTTACTAAAAATGAAATAATTTTTTTTTTATTATATAAGCAATAAATAAAATAAATGTAACCAAAATAAATGTAAATAAAATAAATAAAAATGTAACCAAAATGTAGTGAGTTTTTTAATAAGATTTTTCCTGACGCCCTAAGTAAATAAATAAAAAATATATATATATATTATAATGTATATATGTAAAATTCATAAAACACTTAAGGTTTTTGCTTCATAACAATTTTTTTTAAACACCTTTTTTGTAAAATTCAATAGAAACGGCTGCATATCAAAATATTATGCGCATTATATCATTTTTTAGTTGTTATTTATTTTTTAATAGTGATATATAAATTTTTCATAGAGTTATATTTTATTTGTTTTTATTTTCATTTTAGTTATTTATTGTATATGTTTTATTCTACTGTGTATTATTATTACTATTTCTTTATTTATTTATTTTTACTTTTTTTAATCTTATATGTTGTTTTTTTTAGCCAAAGGTACTTAACGTAATTTTTTGTTTTGTTTGTAATGTTTGTTGTAACTTTTGTCTTTGCAATGTTTGTTGCAACTCTTCTCAACTCTCATTTTATCAGTGATTTTCTGTGTATATTTTACTTATTCATTTGGACATAATATTTTAAATATTATTTGGTTATTATATTATAACAACTATATTAATATATTTACTAAATCTTTATAACATTTTTATGTCATTGTTAGTTGTTGCATTTTGTCAGTTTATTACTGTTTGTAATAAAACGATTGATGTATGAGAAGTAATACCAATTTATTTAAATTGTTATAACTACTTTATCATTGTTATAATGATGTTAAAATAACATGTTATTATTATTATTTATTAGTAGTAGTAGTATTATTATCATTATTAATATTATTACCATCATTACTAAGATTAATTATATATATATATATATAAATTATTTTTTTAAGGTGTTTACTTAAGATAAGTATTTCAATACTATTTACAAATAGCTGTGAAAATTTATTTTCAGAATATATATATATATATATATATATATATATATATATATATATATATATATATATATATATATATATATATATATATATATATATATATATATATATATTAACCCAAAGAATTAGAAAAAATGAGGTCGGCAATAATTTGGCAACCTCAATCTTTTAAAGGTTGGCATCAGATCGGCAAAAATAAAATCAATACAAAGGTCTTACCATGGTCAATTGACTCCTTTACTAAACTTTATACAATTTATGTTAGACCTGAATTTGAGTTTTGTGCACCAGTTGGAATCCACATTTGAAAAACGAAATAAAAAAACTTGAAAAAGCTTGTCCCAGCTCTCAAGCACAATTCTTATGAAAAACGTTTATCAATTTTAAAGTTAAAAAGTCTTGAATCCAGAAGAATTAGAGGGGACCTCGTTCAATATTATAAAATAAAAACAAATTTAAATAAAGTAAACTAGTGTCATCCAAACTCAAAAAATTTTTCTTCAACTCTAAAAGGTCCATCTTCTAATATCAGAGGAGATCCACACAAAGAGTACAGAGAGTTTACTAAACACAGTTACCAGGAAAATTTCTTCAGCAACAGGATAGTGCCACATTAGAATAATTTCCCAAATAACTTAGTAACATCAAAAACAGTTTCAACGAATTCCAGAAAAAATATGATGTCTTAACAAAAAACAAATAATTAACTAATTGTTACATAAGTAGGATAACAATAATCCTACTCTGCAAAGATTTGCAATATCTATGCTGTAGAAATAAATAAATAAAACATAAAAACAAGGTCAGCAATTTTTTGCCAACCTCAATCACTTTAAGATCTGTAGTTTATATTATATATGAATAAGAGGTATATATAGAGAAAGAAGGACAAAAAAATGAAGTCAATTCAAAAAGAGTAGACAGATATTGCACAGAAAGTGCAAACTATACGCATAATTGGCATTAGCTAATTAATATATGTAACGAAATAGATTATTTCATAAGAAAGGTTGATATTTTATATGATATTATATATACATTTTTCCTTGTGGGTTTATAAAAACGCGTAAAGTATTATGCTTGTATTATTGACAAATAAAAAATGTAATGTAACGGAACAAAATTGAGATATGAGATAAAGTTAAAATACATCTCAAATGTAGATTTTTTGAACATTGTTAAATATTGTAACTGATGAGTAACAGTATTTAACAGAATTGTTTTATTTATAATATTATTCATATATTTGATTATTTATGTATTTTATTATTGAAAACGCAATAACATGTTAGTCAAAACTATTGTAATTAAAAAAATTTTAAAAAAATTAACCCATGCTTGTATGATTGTTTTTAAAAAAGACTTCCTAAAAGTAAATACAACTTTAAATGCTTTAAAAGTTATATTTATCTATAAAAAAAAAAAGTGCATTTAAAAGTTAAAATAACTAACGGTACTTAGGCAATCTTAGGTACTTATTACCTTTAAAAGTATTACCAACCGATAACCAACTGAGACATAGTGTAACGTAAAACATTTAAGAATTAAAACGTAATTAAAATATCTTACAAATATAATTTTTTTTACAATCTATTATGTCTTTTTTTTTTTTAATATGGTAACTAATTGAGACATAAACCTGTTTTAGTTACATCTCAAATCTAGACTGAGTTATGTTATGTTACGTCTCAAATAGTTACACTTTATAAAGTTATAAAAAAAACAATTGAGACGTAACATTGAGTATTAACACTTTTTTTTTGTATTAAGTATTAACACTTTTTTAACCAATTGAGACAAAGCTATTTTACAATAAAATTAAAATAAAAGATAGTGTATAGCATTACAGCAATAGTAAACAAACTATTACTGCATTATCAAGTTTATTAAATTAATATTTGATAAAAAATATAGAGTGTCCCCTTGAATAACTTTAGAATGTTTTAGGGGTCTCTCTCTCTCTCTCTCTCTCTCTCTCTCTCTCTCTATATATATATATATATATATATATATATATATATATATATATATATATATATATATATATATATACAGACATAAATGAATAGAATTTTTCTAAATACTAATTTTTTAATAATTTTAGAAATTTTTGCTAACTTTTTGATATTAGCATCTTCAGCTTTATTAAAACTTGATGAAAACTTTATTAAAACACACACAAATACTACACTTGAAATTTTAACTTGCACACTTCCTTTTTCAACACTATCAAAGATGGCAAGTTCTCTATAAAACATCATACTATTTCTCAATGAACCAAAGAATACCATTTATAAAAAAAAAGATTTTAACTAAATACCCTTTTATTACCAACATTTTTCTTCTCAATCAAAACCAAATTAAGAAACTTTTATTCGAGTATATATTTGGTGAATATTAATTTTATCTTTTATCCTTATTGCTTTTTTTATATTACTGTATTTATAAAACTATTATTACTTTTATTTTATACTGTCTTTTTTAAGTCTATTACTAATATTAATATTATCATTAATTTACATTTTAGAAATTTTATTAATCTTATTTATAATGATAGTGATTCCTTTGTAGTAATGTTTTCATGGTTATTGTCCTAATTTGTGCAAATGTTGTTTATTTTAATAACTTCTGTCATCATGGTGGCTAAAAAATTTTAATAGTTAAATTCCAGGACATTTCCAGGACATTCCAGGACATTTTGTTGCGTTTTCCAGGACATTTTATATCTTATTAAATGAATATTATCAATTATCTTTACGGTATATTTTTTTCATATTGATTGAATTATAGAATAGAATATTATATTATTATATTATTATATAATTATTACTCTCTTATTTAAAATTAAATTCAAACTATTTATATAAAAAAAAATTTCGCATAAAAAATTTAATATTACTTCAATATTCTTAGTAATTTTTGAACTTGACTCAGAAAAAAAAAAAGTCCCAGGACATTTCAGGACATTTTTGAAAAAATGTAATTTTCCAGGACAATTCAGGACATTCCAGGACTAGTTTTGACTAGTTTTTACTAGAACTTGCAAAAATCCAGGACATTCCAGGACTGTGGCCACCATGTGTCATAGTTATAAACTTTACTATAATTACTTTTACCATAGTTTTCATCATAAGTTATAATTTTTAGCAAAGTTATCATGTTATAGTTACTATTTGTAATGTTTTTTTATTCATATAATTATTTTTTATTATATTATTATTGCAATTATTATTATCATTTTTATTTATTAGTGCTTTGTTTTATTTTATTTCTTTTTTTTTTTTCCTTTTTATTTCATTTTAAATTCTTTTTATATCTTATTTGTAGTTTTTTTTTTTTTTTTTTTTTTTTAAGGTGTCACTCCATTGACTAGTTTTTAACTATATAAGTGACATCTAACCTTATTTATGTGATTTTATAAAATACTATTGTAAATTTTCATATTTTATGGTTAAATAAATGGATTAAAAGAAAAAGCTCTAATTACAAACTATTAAATATATTTATTACACAAACAAACGGTAACTTCACTTTTTAATGGCTTCTTTAAACTTGCGTATTTTTGGTACGCGTTAATAGAACTAAATAAATGATATAAATAAATAGTTGAATGTATTTTTTTTGGGAAAGCGTAATAGTATCGAAAATTAACTGATCGAAAAAATGATTAGTATCGAAAAATAACTGACCGAAACTCATTTTAATGATTAATATCAAAAATGTGATTTTCAGATTATTATCGAAATGTTTTTATATCGAAATTTACAAATGTGGAACAATATCGAAAACATTAAAAACGGAATAAGATCGAAAAATTATTAAACTGATTAACATCGAAAATGTGTTTTTCTGATTAATACCGAAAACAATAAAAACGGAATAAGATCGAAAATTCATTTTAATGATTAACATCGAAAAAAGGTGATTTTCCGATTAAAGTCGAAAACAATAAAAACAGAATAAGATCGAAAACTCATTTTGATGATTAACATCAAAAATATGATTTCGATTTTATTTCTTTTTTTTAAAGTTTCGATATAATTCCAGAAATTCCCGCTTCGATATTGTTTCTTTTTTCACAATTTCGATGTAATAACGTTTTTTGAATTTTTGATACTATTCCTTTTTTAACAATTTCGATGTTATTCTCTATTTCAATGTTGCTCTGGAAATTCCCTTTTCGAAATTAATCAGTTTGGCTGTTTTCGATACTGTTACTGCTACCCTTTTTTTTTACGGAATCAAGGTTTTAAAAAAGTTGAAAATTAAATGCTACGATTACTACTATTATTTTTATTATTATGTACTTTTTTTGTACCAAATTCTATCAAAATTAATTAGCTCATTGTCAACTTTTATTTAACAAGTTTAGATGAATGGAAATCACCTAGGTTAAACCAATTACGATATATATATATATATATATATATATATATATATATATATATATATATATATATATATATATATATATATATATATATATATATATATATATATATATATATATTTACAGGGCCTTTGAAAGGGAGGGGCAATTTGACCCGTGCGCCAAGCTTGAAGAGATGCCTGGCAACCTCTTAGTTTTCTTTTTTTTTTTTTACAATAAATAGAAAACATTTTAAAGACTGACAATTTGAATTCTGCTTATATTTTTATATTTAAGGTAGAAACTTTATTATTTGGAATAAAAATGCATATAAAAAAAAATTTAAATCTTAAATTCTATTATTTTAATTAATTATACGAAAAAAATAGAATTTAATTGAATTAGACGGAACCGGAAGCAGCCGAATTGGAAGCTGATTAAATTTTGCTTTGAAGCAGCCGACACTGATAGCACTGGCAATTTTTTTTAGTAGTGCGTTCCATGGGTGAGCAACGCAGTTGTTGAAAAAGTTGAAGCAAACGAAGCATTTGTTGACAATTTCACAATAGAAGCACTACCTTTTCAAGTAGTATTTGATTGTTAAAGCAAAAAAGAATAGCATCGGATTTTTTAGGCAAATAAGCCGCCTTGCCTCTACCAGGACCCAGCCAGTTACCAAGTATTTAATGTTTTTGCATCGGGTTTAAAGTAGACGGAATGCCAACTTTAAATCCAATAGGAGAAAAACAATTTTTTTACTCAAATCGTCAGTAGAAATTTGAAATTTCGATGTATTGTTGAAACTTACTGAAGTGAGGCTTTTAGTTAAATAATTGATAAATGATAAGTTATTCATTGTTTTATAGTTGATAGTTAAATAAGTTGGTTGATAATTTAAAAAAGATTTTGATAATTTTATGTAAACTTTGTAAATTTTGATAATTTTATGTAAAGCCATCTATGGCTTAAAACCCATCTCTGATTTTGATGCCATTTATCCTCACCTCTCAACAGATCGGTTAGAAGTGGTCGGTTAGAAATGACGTATTATAATGTGTTAGAACAACTTTACTGGAAATAAAAATATTATAAACAGTATTGTCAACAATAAGAAATAAGACAATAGAATAATTTTTAGACGAAAGAATGTAAATACACAAGTGACTGTTGCGAACACTCCAACGCCAAAACCGAAAAAAAAAATACAACTAATTTATGTTCATTAATTCGATTATTCCACAAAAAAATTTAAGTTTTTTGAGTAAAACTTCCGATCTATCTAAATGCGAAAATACAACATTGAAACCATTAATTATAAATAACAAAATATTGTAGGTGCTTCTAAAAAGTGGGTCGAAAGAAATCTTCCTCAAAACCATGCTAAAGCTACTAAAAAAGAAGAAGCAAAAAATAGGCAGAATTTAGAGGATATGGAATTTATAACCATAACGAAGACCAAAAGAAATTTTCTTTTGGTCTGTGTTATGTTTTTTTTTGGTCTGTCTTATCTCCGAACACTCAATGAGGCTCTCCAGTAATGTAACTGTTTTTTGTATCATACTTTTTTTCTTCTAAGAACCTCTGGTATTATAACATTTGTTGTTATTACTAAATAAAGGGTCCCTATAATAAAGGCCATGACTTTCAGTCAGTCTAAAAGAGCTAAGAGGAACCAATGAGCACTCTGCCTCTTTTAAGATCGCGTGCTGCACTCAATATGTGTGATTTGAAAGAATCACACATATTGAGTGCAATTGTTTAATGCCCTCACTGATCCTTTGAGTGGATCAGTGAGGGTATTAAACAATTTACCTAAAGTTGAGCTAAATGAATTTCAAAGTGACTAATCAGAGTTAGATGTAGGAACTTTATCCATCAGGAAAGAATGTGATGCTCAACCTAACTTAATTTTTGTCTAATAAAAAAAAAAGTAGAAAGAGATTTTTTGGTCAGAGCTCGAGCATTAAAACATCTCTTTGACACAAAATTAGTAGTGGGGAACTGTTCTTTCATTGTTGGAAGGTAGGAGCTATGGATCAATGAGGAAACTTATAGATTGTGCAAAGCAGCATCAACCAGCCCTTTGCCATAAAATTCTTACCAGCTCCACTGGTATAGATACAGAGCTCCAGAAACTCTAATTAATTTCGAACGAACTAAACTTTTGAAGCAAACTAATTCTGAGATAGCTGAATGACAATTCTTCGTAGAATTTTTGATGTGAATCTTTTTTTGGTGTTTAGAAATTTAAATTTTCTAGGTAACTTATTATAAAGTTCTCTTGATATCAATTTATATAACTGAAACATTATAGTTGAAATTCTTTTTGATGCCATACAGAGATCGTTTACATAGATTAAGGCTCAAGTATTGATTCTTGAGGTACACTATACTCTATTAAAGATGGATTAGAGTTATTGTATCCAATATAATAATTTTTTTAATAAGTAAATCGAAAAATAAAACGTTCGATAAAATCACCCATGTTTTATTTTAATCAGTATTTTATTGAACACCTAATTGTGTAATTGTGCTTCAAAGATGCGATATTTGTGAGATAAAAACTTTTTTTTTTGAAATTTTTTTCACAGAGTTTATCTAAAGAGAACTTTATAATATTTTGTAAGAGGCGTTGCTGACAAAAAATAACGTTTTTCGTAGATTGTTTTTGCTATCATAGGAACTTTTGTTTGGTCAAGATAAATTTTAAGACGATTTTCAGGTTTTTTTTTATTTGGAGGATCTAAACCATCTAGTAAAGGTTGAGAGTGGGGATTTTTAAGTTTAATGATTTGTGAGCAGGCAAGCCCGCAAACCATAATTTTTTTTTAGCTCATTCCTCTAAAAATATTAGTCTTATAAGACTCATACTTATAGTATATATATTGTTTTAATTCAATAAAATAAAATTAACAATAAAATTACGTCATATATTGGTATCGTACAGTACGACTTAAAATTTGCACCACGCAATTTTATTGAAACTTCGTATCATTTTTAAACAACCTCGCTAATATAGTATTAAACATTTTTTTAATTTTTCAAAATATTTTAAGATTTACCAATAAAAAAAACTTTAAAAACCTTTTTTCCGTACAAAAACATCAGTCAATAATGCTAACTGAAGTCACGAAATCTGAATTTTGTTTTTTAATTTAAACAAGGTCATTTAAATATCTTTTTAATCTAAAAGACAAACTAAAACAATCTGACAGATTGGTTTTGGCTTAAAATAACATAAAACTTTATAATATGTCTTTAAAAAATCGATAAAACAAATAATAAACTTCAACCAATGAATATTCGACAAAAAGTCACACAAGATAAAACAAAAATGTTTGTTTTTTTTTAAACAATTTTTTAAACAGTTTTAAAAAGTCTAAATTGATAGTAAAATTGGTAAGTGAACTATTTTAAAATTTACATAGTTAAAAAGTTTTATTATTTGATTTTGATTAGACATTCAACGTGTACTAAAAAAGAATTTAATGACCTTTAATAAAAACTAGAAAATAACAGACCTATTTTAAATTACGAAATAAGTTTGTTTAATATTTTTATATCGGTTTTATTATTATTATTACTATTATTATTATTTTCATTATTGATTATCAATTAATATTGTTATTATCAATTATAATAAATAATGTATTATTACAAACTGTGCCAGTATAATTTATAAAATGATTTATTTACTTAAAAGAAATTTGTTTTATCTAATTTAGTTTGTATAATATACAATTGACAGGAAAATTAGAATTTTTTTTTATTAGGTTGGATTGATCCAAAAAAATTACTTTCATTCTGGAACGAAAGAATTAAACATGGCGGTATGTTAATTTTTTTTTTTTAATGTTCTCAACACTGTTGTTGCCATGGGTGTGGTGAGGATACAGTCCTAGAGTTACAAATCAAAATTATGAACCACCCGTGAAATAATTTTTCAACCGATGTAATATATAAGTTTTTATATACTTTATATGTAAATGGTTTTTTGAATTTTAAATTTTGAAATTTATTAATCTGGTAAAACTTCATAATTGTCTATTTGCATTTGATTTTTTGCAATATAAACCACATCAATTTTTCCTAATATTAGCTGTTCTTAAAATAAATAAAGTTCATCAATATTGTATGAGATATATAGAAAATGGAGAATTATATTCATCATGTTTTGATACTATTAAATAAATCATCATTGGATTTCCCAATGAAACCAAACCACTCCTTTAATTAAAAAATGATTTAAGAATAATATCCATGATAACAATATATGGTAATAGTTTTATTAATCTCAGTATATTTCAATTATTAAAAAATATTATTTGAGTGTGTTATTAATGAACTCATCTGAGAATGCTAATTGCTAATAATTTATCTTTTGAGATTTTCGATGTTGTGAGTTGATTTTTGTTGTTGTTTGTATTATGATTTTTTTTTTTTTTGTTTCTTTTGGATTCTAAAAAAAATTTACAAAAAGACAAGATTACAACTTTTTAACAATATGGAACGAACGTATATTCACCAAAATTTAGTAATTCTTACGTAGCTCATCTGGGATTACAAAAACCATTTGTTTATTTGGATTTTTTTTTTGTTTATTTGGTATTAAATAACATTTTGATTTAGATCATATCGAAAACGTACGCAAAATTTTAAATTAATTTTTTAAGTATTTTTACTTAAAATTAAAAATTTAAGCAAATTTATTAAAATTTATTTAAATTTTTAAGTAAGTTTATTAAAATTTACTTAAATTTTTAAGTAAATTTTAATAAAGTTAAAATTAAAGATAAAAAATAAATTGAAAAATATAATAATAATAAATATATAAATTAATAAGTGTTTAACTTATAAATAGAACTTGGAGACATACAGAAGACCATAAAAAATCAAAAAAAACATAAAAAACTTTATAAAAAAGCTCAGCATTTATCTCATAGAAAAAAAAAATTTACTATTTATTAATTACGATTTAATAAATATATAAATATAATAGATTTTTTTCTTTTTTTATAACAAAAATATGCTTTTTCGTAAGTGAAAATTTTATAAAGTTTAGGTGTAAAAACTGTTCTACATATCTAACTGATGAATTCACGTACGCATTTAACCTATATTCAATTAAACATGTAATTTAATTCAAATTAAATTTTCAAATACATATTCAAAGGCATAAATACTTAAATATAGTAATATTACTACAAAATAAAATACGGATTAAAAAATATACGTCATCAAAATGCAAAATAATGTTTGGCATAAATTTTTAGTTAAAAGAAGGATAAAGTTTTTGTTTTTTAGTGACATTTAGTCAAATATTTAGTAAAAACATTTAGTGAAACAAACATTTAGTGAAAGGTTGCTTATTATTAACCACTAATTCATATCAAAAAAAATTTTTTTGATATGAATTTTTTTGATATGACATTTAGTGAAACATTTAGTTAAAACATTTAGTGAAACAAACATTTAGTGAAAGGTTACTTATTATCAACCATTAATTCATATCAAAAAAAAAATCTGTATTTTCAACAATACTTTTATTATTTGGTGTAGCTGATGTGCAGTTAGAGTTCTGGATCAGAAACAAGAGGTCCGAGGCCTTTCCGCGATGCTCTGTGATAAGACTGTAAGGAATTCTGGGAGCACCTTAATAACCCACACACACACAAAATTTATTTTATTAATCATACTTTTATTTATATTTTTATTAATTCGATACTTATATTTTGAAATAATGTTGTAATGTTGTTTTGAGAAAAAAAAAAAGGTAACCCAGCCGGCATTTGGTCTTAAAAAGACGTCTTATAAACGGTCGCCAAATGCCGGCTGGGAAGTGTCATAAAAAATACTACAATTTTAAACAAAAACAATAAAGAGAATGGTCCTAAAGAGTCTACAAAAGCATTATACTAGGATCCTTTACCATTACCGTTACCATTACCGAGGATCTGTATAGAATTCCACAAGTTACAACTAATAAGTTAGGTGGGACAGTTACATTACAAATCATCTATTTTCGGTAGCTTAATTACTTTTAAATAACATTACACATGTCTTTAATGCCATAATATTAGATATTTTCCAGACGAATTTTTAATAAAATTATGAAAACTTCCAACAACTATTCTGAACAAACATTCCAAACAAACATTCCGAACAAACATTCGGATTTTTTCAAAAGATTTAGAATACCTCAAGTTATTGTGTTTTTTGTTACGTAATTATTTGGAACACGTGTTGACTGATAAATAGCCATTATTATCTAAAGAGAGATGATTTGTAAATAACGTTATACAAAACTTGGTTGAAAACTTTAGAAAAAAGTCTAGGAACTAACAAAGTTCGAAAAAATAAGATTTTACGAAAACTAAATCAAAGTATATGGATATACTGTATATCCATAAAGTTAAAACTTCATAAAAGTGTTTAGACGTTCAAGAGTTATAGCTGTGTTTACAGTCTTCTTATTTTAAGCGGATTTGCCATCCACCATCTTAGTACTTGACAGGGCGATAACTTTTAAACGCCGAAGAATACTTTAATGAAACTTTTAAATTGATGATAAATTTTGATCTAATTTAGCATTTAAAGGTTTTTACTAAAAAAATTTTGTTCCTTCAAATTGTCTTGGGAATCCAAATCCAAGCTGTCTAGAGAAATTTAAAAAAAGTTATTAAAGTTACTAAAGTTACTGTCTTTTGAACGTTAAAAGACGTTTAAAAGATGTTCAAAACATTTAAAGACGTTTAGAGACGTCTTTTTGACGTCCCATGCCCACTTTTTACACCTTAAAAAAATACTAGTTTATTTTTTTTTAAATAAACTAGTATTTATTTTTATTAATAAAAGACTATTATTAAAAAATTATTTTTATTTATTGATTATTTATTTTTTCATGGAATAGCTTAGGATTAGCTAAGAATTTTAAAAATGTAATTAAAAGCATAAAAATTTTAATTTTAACTTTAAACACACACACACACATACACACATAAACACACACGCACACACACACACACACACACACACACACACACACCCGTAAGATCGCCTTTAGTTGGAGCGTAGATTATAGTGGAATTACATTAACAGTAGTTAATTAAAATAAAAAACTGTAAAAAATTGTATTTATTCGTTACCAGACAACAATAATTTCAATTTGTAGATTTTGTATGTCAATCATACTTTTCTCACTTCTATTTGAGTGACATCTATTTTAATCTCATCTAATACCTGCTCACATATTCAAAAACATTCTTTTTCACACGAAAGACATTCTCTATCATACGAAAGACACTTTTTTTCATACAAAAGACACTCTCTTTCACACTAAAGACACTCTTTATCACACGTACATAAACACACTCTATATGATAAATTAAAAAAATCGAAAATGTTTTTTATATGTTTTATACCTAGCTATGTGATAGTGGTGTATTTAGGTTTTTCGAAAACTGAAAAAAAACCGGTTGTTACCTTTATTTTATTTGAACTGTTTTTTATTTTTGTTTGAAACTATCTTATCCTAAAGAAATTTGTATTCCTGATGCAAAACGAACTGTATATCATATTTACATATAAGTCTTCGCAGGAGCTCCCCAATCATCATTTTGCTTAACAATAGCAACTCTTCTGTTATTTAGTGAATATAAAGCATAATGTTTTTTTTTTAAATTTGTTCCATGTGCTGCGCTCCTACATGTTAGAAAAAAAACATTTTATTTATTTTTTATTAGTTATAAAGGTGCCACAAGAATACCGATAGGTTTTATTACAGAGCACAGCGGAGGAGCATTTAACAAGGAGGTTCTCGTCTCCTTTCTTACCAATGTCGCTTATTGGCGTATAGTCGGCGTTGAACCACAAACCTCTTGGTTCTGAGCCAGAACTCTATCCAATGTGCAACGGTTGTTTATTAACAAACAGTTTTAAGGTTTAAAATTTACTTATTTGTTTATTAGTTTAAATACAGAAAATTTCGATTTATTGTAGATTAAACATTAGCAGAGAAGATAAAAATCTTTTTTGTACATTAACTCTAACATAATTTTTTCTTTTAGTCCGCAGAAAGGCTTCACTGGATACTTAGTGTGCCGTTTGGCATAATTATATCAATTCTCGGATTACTAGGGAATGCGCTATCAATAATTATTTGGAAAAGATTAGTAAATACAAAGTTGCGTAATAATCAATCTACTGGAATTTTTCTTATCGCCTTAGCAGTTTGCGACAGCGGATTGTTGATTTTCTTTGTTTTACAAGATAGCCTACCTGCTCTTTATCCATCGTTAAAAGAAGATTCTTACTCATATGCTGTCTTTTTTTGCTGGATTGGCTTTCCTTTCTTCTTTATATTTCTTGTAGCCAGCATTTGGCTTGTGGTAGGAGTTTCATTAAACCGGTTTATAATGATTACATTTCCTATGAAAGTAAAAGTAATATACACAAGGAAACGCACATACTACAGTATTTTAGGATTTTTTATATTTTCTTTACTTTCAAATATTCCACATTTTTTTAACTACAAACCTGAAAATACGACTGGCGGCAAGTGGAAAGTGGGAATAACAGAGTATGGTGCGTCAGAAGGTTCAAAAAATTACGAGTTTTGGGTGCACTGCATTTTTATTGTCTTAGCACCCTGGATTACTATCGCCATTTTAAACAGCATAATTGTTTACAAGCTATATAAGCAATCCAAAATAATAAACCAAAAGTTGATGGAGTCTACAAACTGCGGTAAATATTTTTACAGTATACTAGATTGTTTGTTCTTTTAACAAACTTCTTTTAACACCCCCCCCCCCCACACACACACACACTCACCATGCTCTTCATCATGTTTTCTTTCTAAATATTACTCTATAAAAACTTTTATCTTTTAGAACGTAAGTCCAAACAAGAAAATCGAGAACATCAAATGACTCGAACTTTATTTGTAGTTACTTTTGCATTTCTAATACTCCTTGCTTGGCAATGCATAATACAGTGCTTCTGGATGACTGGGTACGGAAAAAGTGAACAACATTCCTACGCATGGGTGATGATTGATAAAAATTTTGCTTTTGCAAAAATGGGTGTTATTTTAAATTCGGCTGCAAACTGTTTACTTTATTGTTTTACGGGAAGCATGTTTAAAAAAGAATTGATAAAAATATTCTGTAATAAGTTTAATGTCAAACAAAACAGCTCTTCGTACGAAAAAACATCAACTAAAAGTTCATTACTTCAAAATGAAACTCGAAGCTTGTAAATAAATATCAAAATTGATGGTTTCTTTTGGCTATTCTAATTACTGTTGTTATTAATATTATCATCATTATTGTTTTTAATAATATAATAATTATTATAATGACCTCTTTTTTATACTTAGAGTAAAGCAGAAAAATATCAAATAAAGGATATTATAAAATTGTAATGACAATGTTTATTTAACCTTAATTGTTGGTTAAACGTTTTTAATTTTATCTTAAAATTAATTGTTGTCGGGTTAACTGACCAATTAACCTAATTAAAGTTATCCAATTATAGGTACTAAATTTCAGTGTTAAATGGACACGTGACATGTATTACCTATTAGGTCATAATTATTTGCAACAAAAATTAAATTTTGATAAATTGCTTCCGAGCTCACTGACTCTGCAGCCACTAGATGTCGTCACACACTCTGTAGTCACTAGATGTCGTCACACACTCTGAAGCCACTAGATGTCGTTTTTTATAGCATCCAAATTCAACTTCCTGCAACCAACTCTCAATTTTTAATATTTAACTCCGGCTTTTTGGAAAATTTTAAAAAGAAAATTGAAAAACAACTACAATTAGCCTAACTGCTTGTAATTAGCCTGCAATTAAACTGCTTGCAACAGCTTTACTAGAATTGTTTCTCATTTAACATGCTGATACACAAAACTAAAAAAGTAGACGCGTTAAGGGGAATGTTTCAACGAACCTAATATACTCGAGAAATTAAATGACGTTGACAGCAAAAACCAGCCAATCAGATAGTTAGGAAATAACGTAAGCTTAAGTTTGACAATGAGCTTTAAACAATCTAAAATTGCAACAGCTACTCCAACAACAACAACAACAAAAAAAGTAAAAAAAACAATTTTAAACCAAACTTTAACAAGTCAAAATAGTGAATGTTGCTAATTTAAAAATTTAAAACGACCGAGGCGTGTTCTTGGGTTGACCGGAGCACGTTGTTCATAACGGTGGATTAGCCGAGTTGAGTTTATTGAAAAATTAACGAGCTTTAACAAGCCGGGAATCAAAGTGAAATTTGGTAAAAATTCAATCCTCTTTCAAAACAAAATTCATATTTGTCGGATCATATTTGTATAAATATGGGTTTTTTAAATGGTTTTTGATCATCAAAACAACTTGTTTAACGTGTTAATGTTCACTGGTGTTTAGCAGTGTTAATGTTCGTTTGGTACAGTGTCGTATTATTATAAATGCTAAGTTTAAAGATTATCGTCTGAAGATTATATTAATATATAACATTATACAATGTTAATTAAAGATTTGTAAAGAAAACTGTTTATACTCTATAGCATAAACAATTTTCTTTATGAATCTTTAATTATCGCTGACCCGATGAAAAAGGGTCATGTTGACCATGTGGGTCAACGTTACAGTTTATTAATAATTTGGTACGAACAATTTTTTTATTAATTTAGTTATATTAGTGACAAAAAAATAGTTTTTGTTGAAAAAATACTAATGGTTTTAAAACATAAACAACTTGGTATTTGTTTTGCTAGTTTTATATTAAACATAGATAATAAGAAAATGTTATTCGTATACATAATACTTATATTATACATTGGGCAGGATTGAAAACCCTTGCTTTTTCAAAGGAATGATTTTTGTAAACTAAATTGGAAATTAAAAAAAAACCAAAAGCGTTTAAAAGGCGGCATAGGTAATACCTTACATATTACCTATAAACATTTATTTAATTACGAGTAAAGACATTTTTAGTAAAATTCTATATTTTTATTTATGAATATTTCAAAGTTGTTTCACGGAAGGAAGGATAGGTTTCTTGCGTGACACAAGTTTCAATTTTTATAACTAAAAAACTTAATCTTAAAAAAACATAAATAAATTTTCACATACGATATCTTGATAACGTATGTCGAATAATAATGTTTCGTACAAAATCTTGATATCGTACACTGTTAAAAAATTCCGTTAAAAAACGGAAATATACCACGTTATTTCGACGGAAAGTATCCGTATATCCATGTATGGTTGTACAGATGTATTATGTACGGAAGTTTTCCGTTTTTGCAGCTAATTTTTTAAATACGGAACTTTCCGTTGTATTAAGAACTGCAGTTCTGCATGCAGTTAACACGTTAAACCGCCATTAGTTGTGATTTTTCAAAAATATTTTTGGGCTCACATTTTTTGGGCACACCTTGCCTCCAAAAAGAAATAGATTTATTTATAAAAATTGACAATTGCATCTCCTTCGATTATTTACGAAAAAGTTGTAATGGTTTCATAAAAAGCTAAGTTTAGCTATGCGTATATTGCTAAAAATATCCTTGTTGCAACAAGGATTTTTTATAACGTTTGCAATAGTAAAAAATGTTTGCAACAACGTTTAAAATAGAATATAGTCAAAAAACTATATTCTATTTTTATTTTCCTTGATATTTGCTGTTCATTATGTAATGAATATGCAATATCATCCAAATGTTTTTGCTTCATTAGAGTAGGTACGCGGAAATCCGTGTTTTACGGAACCGAATTTTGTACTAAAATTTTGTGCCACGTTTTTTGAACTTTTTTTTAGGTAACGTCAGGCGAACGTTTTTTTGTGGCGTTTCTGTTTAGAAACATTACTAAACTTAGATTATTTTTGAAAAAAAGAATAGTTAAACTTGATTAATATATAACATTTATGTGTGGTTGGTAATTTTTGTATTGCTTTTATTTGTATTAAAAACTTGGTTGTTGTTCTCACATTAAATTATTGTCAAAGAAATGCTCAGATAGTTTGCAAACCTACCCAGATAGTTTTTTACATATATTTTTTATCTATCTACCAAATTTCATTGAAAAATAATATTGAGCAGATAGTCTATAAAAGTGAGCAGTTTTGGTACCTCATTTCTGTTTTTCTGATTTCCGTAAGTGGGTGGTAAGAGGGGTACAAACAAGTTGAATTTTATTTGGTTAGTTTAGTAATTATTTATGTTATATGTATAATATATATATATATATATATATATATATATATATATATATATATATATATATATATATATATATATATATATATATATATAAATATATATATATATATATATATATATATATATGTTTATAAATAATATATATATATATATATATATATATATATATATATAAATATATATATATATATATATATATATATATATATATATATATATATATATATATATATATATATATATATGTATATACATGTATATATATATATATCTATATATATATATATATATATATATATATATATATATATATATATATATATATATATATATATATATATATATATATATATATACATGTATATATATATATATATATATATATATATATATATATATATATATATATATATATATATATATATATATATATATAAGTTTTTTTTTTAAATAAAATAAATTAGTAAAAATATACAAACTAATATTAATTAATATAAAAAATCTAATAAATTACTGCAAAAAAATATATATATATATATATTTCATATATAATAATATATATATATATATAATTATATATATATATATATATATATATATATATATATATATATATATATATATATATATATATATATATATATATATATATATATATATATATATATATATATATATATATAATATATATATATATATATATATATATGTGTGTGTGTATATATTAATACAATTAGATATAGACTGCCAATAAGATGTTTTTTTCTTATTCTTATTTTTTCAGTAGTTTATTAGATTTTTTATAATAATTAATATTAGTTTGTATATTTTTACTAGTTTATTTTATTTTAAGAGTGAAAATTACTATTTATTTTAGTGTGACTTGTTTATAGTTTCTAAAATTTTATTGGTTTCATTGAAATTGAAAACATAAGCGTTGATTACTATAATTCTAGCTATAGGTATGATGGTATTTTAAAAACTCTTTATATTATCACATGTTTTATGATGTCAGTATACATTGGCATTTTTGTCTGTGTGTATAAATAGTATTTTTTTAATTACGCAATAATACAGTATTATTAAAAATGTTTTTAATAATAAAAGTATAATATTGTTTATAATTTAATGTTATATCATTATTCGGTAGTTATTCAAGACTTTCTTTACATTTTTTTTTGTAAATAAAGTTGCTTTTTGTGCCCCAGCAATAGGCACAATAAGCAACATTAATTTTTGTTCTTAGTACAGTTAAAGAGTATTTAAATACACACTTCTTTTTATCTGCCAAAACTTGCAGTTGTTGTAAAAATAGATATGTATCTTTTTTATTCATTAACAGTGTCATTTGTTATAACTATTATTTAGTTTAAACATTTGTAAACCACATTTCTTTAGGGTTTTGAAAAGATGCAAAAGTTGGTTTTGCAACTTTACAAGGGATAATTGTCGTGTTAAGGAATTTCGTAATGAACCCTGTATATGCATTGCACAAATCTTGCTCATCTTTCTATCATCATGTCCCACCAAGTAGTTCTCTTACTACTGTTTTAAGTAGTTTAGATAATTCACCACTTGAACACATAAGTAATTTATCACCACTAAATCACAAGCCTTTATTTTCCAAACATTCTGTTAACAATGAATAGGCATGAATCAAGAGGAGAAATAAGCCCTAGAAAAAAAAGGTTTGAATACCAGATTGTCCTATTTAACTTCTCAGCTTGCTGTTACATCCAGCAAGTATTGAAATAAATTAGTAATAGTGACAACAAAATTAAAAAGCATGGCATACAAGTTGAAAGTACTAAGACAAAAATTACATAAAAGAAACAAATTGTTAAAGTTTTAAGAGCTGAACTTAGAGATCTTAAACAAAATTTGCAAACATATTATTACAGTAAGATAATATGCAATCTTAAAGCTTAAAAAAAAAGCAATGAAAATTTCAGAACTTTAAAAGCTAAAATAAGTTAAAGTTGTACATAATTTTAAGGCAAATAAAATGCTTATAGCTAGTTACAAATATTTGCTTGCATATATGTAAAGCAGTTGATCATCTAACTTTTATTTAGATTTTCATTTAGCATCTTTTAATGATAGTGATCAATCAATCATCTCAAATATATCAAACGCAATGTCAGCCAAAGTTGCAATTAACCATCTTACCATAAGCAAACTGTGTGACATTTAAGGGGAAAGTTTGAATGAGCTAAACTGCCATTTACACGCTCTTGATATAATTGCTACCTCATGGCTGGGTATGATTGTACAATTTTTAGTAAAATAATATTTTACTAAAAATTGCAGATTCTAAATCAAATCCAGGTTCACTTTTTATAATGACCTTGAACCAAATATTTTAGATCCAATAAAAAATGTTTTGTTTGATTGATGAACACTTTATCAATATGACTTTTGCTTGTCTTATTGCAGTAGGAGACGTCATAACTCATCAATGTAAGAGATATTTCTCACTTTCTATTAACCAGACTCTCAAGGAGGAAGTAGCATGTGCAAGGCAGCACGATATAAATAGTGAAGAGTTAATGGATGAATGTTTAGTGAGGCTGAAGAAAGATCACCAAATGCAACAGTTTGTTATGTTTCATACAAATTAAATTACCTAGAAAGTTTAGATCAATTATCTAGAGAAAATATAGTTATGTGGTTGATTCAGAAACCCATAAAAATGTAGTTATGTGGTCGATTCAGAAACCCATAAAAATATAGTTATGTGGTCTATTCAGAAACCCATAAAAATATAGTTATGTGGTCTATTCAGAAACCCATAAAAATATAGTTATGTGATCTATTCAGAAACCCATAAAAAGAGATGATAAATCAAATGAAGCATAATGATATATGAGCAGATATTTCAAAAAAACATGTATGCAAATGCCAAAAAATGGATGAAAAAGACAAAATAAAGTTAAAATAACAGTTGCTTGAACTCTTTTATAATGA